TGCAACGATTATAGTAGTTCGTCTGAAGCAACCTTAAGGAAAAAAGCGAATCAATAAGATTGTAAGGACTTATCGAACAATGTACTGACCAGCCGTGTTAACTAACAATACAACGGCGGTGTGTCTGATCTCTGCTTATTTTTAAATGGAGGAATTCTTCTACAAGGTCTACTGAAGTAAATTTAATCATATGTACCTAAATACTAGCTGTGTAAGCTTCGTCCGATACGAATAGTTATTTTGCATCAAAATGTGTTTTTGCATACCTCCTCATCATCTTTATAACAGTTACCAACGGCGAAGGTCATCTTATAGAACCATTCTTTCATACATTTTTTTTGATATCTTTAACCGTTTTCGCAGTGTATGCATCGGAAATCAATAAATATAGATAATTTTTCTTGTTTTCTCTTCATTTCCCGCCGTTTCTTCGCTCCTTTTCGTTGCAGCGTGATGTTATATAGCCTATAGCCTTCCTCGATAAAAATTCCAACCAACACAAACATATTTTTTCAATTCCCTCGAGTAATTCGTGAGATTATCGTTCAAACAAACGAATAAACTCCTAAAATTTATATATTAGTATAGATAAGGAGGTATTTTACTGTATAGCTTCCGTATTTTAATGATTAACGTTTAGCAGAGCGTTCAGTGTTAGAGCTACTAGGTTCGGATACCGCGTGAAAATATATTAATAAAATAGAGGAGTACATCAGAAAACACAGAAGTCACTCCTCCTAGAAGGCAAGTTAAGTACTCAATGTTTACAAGGAAATTTAGCTGTTTAATTTATATTCTACTTAAATCTGTTATTTTTGCGAGTCACGTTCGCGTTTACATAAGTTAGTATAGGGTTAAAACCTAAAATCTCCCCCCGTGACCACGGTTTCTACAGAGCATCCGACGTATTGTGCATAAACCAATATATTACGCGTTTAAAACAGTTAAAAAGTTTTATTTCAATTCTACTTAAATTATTACGTTTTTCGAAGACTTGACGAAAACAGGTTCGTTTCTTTATTTACACAACACACACAAACCATCAGTATTTCAATATTAAGGAAAGAAATATCATGCCAACTTAAGTATTGTCTTTAGCTAACGTGAGTAGTATAAATTATATAAAACGTTCCTAACGGTTTAAAACGCGAAATATATTAGTTTACTTATTTTTATTTTAACTACAGCCCGACGTTTCGGTTCTATTTCAGCAGACTTTACGGCTGTTAGCTAATATATTTGGGTCTTGAATAGTTAAATAAAACTCGGTTTAAAACGATTTTTAGTTGACTTATTTGAAATTTTTAATAATTTTTTTTAACATTAAAGCTCAATTACAAATCAACAAATGTATTTGATTAGTCCTGTTCCCCTCAGATGAAATACTTAATAGCTTTCGTATTATTCCTAAAAATTCAAATGGTAATGTTAATTCTCTCCCCTGCCGAGTTCTGGCACATCTTGGGTTGTACTCAAGATGTTGAGTTATAGAGATAAGTCGAGAAGCGGATTTTGTTTTGAGGGGCGGTTTGAAGGGCGAGTCTAAGATGGAAAGCAGATAGACCTAAGGCAATGGCTTTTTATTTTTTATATATATTAAAACTACAATTGGAGACAACAGACACTTATTGTTACCCACGATCGCGTCGAGTTACCTGAGTCGTTCTTGCGAGTTAATATTAAAGGTTGACATGTACTGTAGGGGATATTTTTTCAGTTTTTTTAAAGAATTCATTCATTCGTTTATATGTAATTTTTTATTTCTCGAACCATTTTTCATACACAACAGAATCAGGCAAAAATAAATAATTTTCCCGATGCTTCTTCCCTCTAATTGGTGGCAGCATCATGTTTTATAGCTTAAAACCTTCCTCGATGGTGCACCAACAAAAACAAATTCAATTCGAACCAGTAATTTTGGAGATTAGCGCACTCAAACAAACAAACTCTTCAGCTTTATAATATTGGTAAAGATTTCAAAAGCGGGCGCGTGGAAAAATACATAAATGTGATTTTTATAATCTAACTTATGTGTATCAAAAATTTATTTATGTCTCGAGTACTGAAAAAGGTAGAAAAAAATGAGGGCCCTAAGTAAGTCCTTAATTTGATTTGATTTTTGTTTTATGCTAATTATAATTACTTACTAGAACTGTTAAATGACAAATACAATGATTTATTATTATTAAATAAATCAGTTTTTAGAGGAAGGCCGTAATAAAAATTATTACCGTTAAATGTTAACAAAAAAAACTAAAGAACATTTGTAACTTAAACTAAACAACAAAGATTTCTATTCTTATATTCTGATTCAGTATTTAATGCCAATGGCAACATTACAACATATATACATATACTTAAATAATATAGAGACCAAAGAGTATTCTCCACACAACTAAGCCCGTTTCGCGTCACCTCACTTCATCTATATTTTTCAACGGTGTCGGCAAATATAATAAAAAGCCTCCCCCTCGCACGAAGGCATTTCGTGTTATTATATTATTTATATATCTCACCTATATGACGTATCGTAGCTATCATTCCACGTGATCTTGAGGCGAACGTAAATCTCGCTTTTCTCTTGTTTTCTTTGAATTTTCCAGATGAAAATTGTCTTGGGTAACTAAGTCTTTATGTGTGAACATTATATATAAGTTATAATTTTCTTTCTTACGTATTGTAGCTGTAGTCCAGACTGGTATTTTGAAAATACAAAAACGTTTGAAATTATAATTTTAATCATAGTGTAGCTAGTGCCTTATTACCTATAATTTAATAAATAGTTACTTATTGCATTTATTTGAAGGCATAAATTGTAGTAGGTATTGAGGAAGGCAGTAGTTGAATAAAATGAAAAATAAGTCAACTATGTATTTCGCGTTTCAACCCGTTAATAGTGTTTTATTTTCATTGTAAGACGGTTTAATATTTTGGATTCATTCAATAAGCAACAATTAATACTGTCTGTACTTAAAGAAGGCTTTATACTGCAAAATGTATTAAGTAGTTGATTTATATTTGTCTTTCCAACGTTTCGAGTGCTTTGCTTGCGTGGTATCGGAGGGAAATAAAGTAATATTTCGCGTTTAAAACCGTTAATGTTATATTTAGTGTGTCTGGGAGTAGTTTGTCATAATACTCCCAGGCAATATTTATTTTTCATTAGGTATATGACTGAGCTTTATGTAAAAAAACTTCCTCGGGCAGGACTTAAACCTGCATCGTCAGCGTTCCGTGCTCTAACCAGTTGAGCTACTGGGTCCTAATTATATATGTATGTACAATTTTAATTTATATGGTGCCATATTTATACATGTGAAAAATATTAAAGTTTTTAAATAAGCGAAAGCAAAAGCAGTACTCCTTCACACTTAGGGCTATAGTAACACAGAGTATATTGTATCAATGCAAAATGTACGGCGTTTATATCAAAAGTTCACACAACACAAAGAAGATTATGTAACAATCTATTATTCACAACAATAGTTTATCCAATTTTTACACTCATTATTTCCGGCGCTTACGCCGCACAATGGCCGACAAAAAGTCGTGACAATGGATTTTGCGATGAAAAAATCGCATATCTAAACAAACGCGGCGGGTGGCGGAAAATAATAAACAAGATTCTATGTGTGTTGAGCTAAAATAAACCTTATTACGAAGACAGAGGGGCTATTTTGTTGTTCACTTTGGTACAAAGATGCCGATGGGTCGTAAAGGCTACTGAATTCGCTTTGGTATGTAAGCGGCGTAATTCTTTTATTAATATTTTGATATAGATCTTTCCTCCATTGTGCGCTTTTTACGGAATGATGGATTTTGTATGCGTACTTGACCTAATAATCTTTGAGAGTGGCTCCATTTGTAAGTATTATACATTTATTGCCTTTGTAACTTCGCGAAATGCGCAGTAAGTAAGCCTTAGTTCGAATCGCGGGAAAACACTACTTATCTATGTCTACATTATAAATTGACATCAAGGGTTGCCTAGAAGAGATCGCTCTATATCGCGATAAGGCATACTCCATAACTTGTAAAAATAAGTTATCGTTCTAACTTGTATTATTGAAATAATTTTTAAGGAAACATGTACATATACTTTGTGTTTGTTTGTGTTGAAATAAAGAATTAAATTAATAATGTCCTACGCTCTCTGGTGAGGGAACTTTATTCTGTTTTTTTTTGTTTTTTTTAATTATTGTACAAAAACATTCTTAAAATTTTTATCTGTTTATAACTTTTTTGTTTTACGATAAAGGTTCGATTTGATCAAATATAATAGTAATAATTTCACTTAATACATAGGTTTTTCTTTGATTAAATTCCACCTTGTATTAAAATATTTGAAACATGCATAATATAGTTTTTAAACACAATTGTCGCCATCTAGCGTCAAAAAGCGGAACTAAAACTTTAAAAGACCTTTAAAAATTTTGTGAGATAAGTGACATCAAGCGCCACATAGTAGAAATACGTTGCTGCCATCCATCGAATATGATTTTTACGATAACCACAAGATGGCGCTTAATACAGTTTACATTTTATATAAATTTTATTAAATAACACTGTTTAACAATGCTTAAATGATGTTTCTTAAAATAAAATAATTGAAAAAGTAGCTAAAGTTTTCTTTGGGTTTTTTTAAACGTTTTATTATTATGTATGACCAAATACTGTTTACGAGAGTAGTACACATTTAAATAAAACACTTTAACGGTTTAAAACGCGATAATATATTAGTTAAACTTATTTGAAAACTGCAAAGCATCCGAAACGTCGGGCCGAAGTTAAAAATCATTTTCAAATGAGTTTACTAATATATTGCGTTTTAAACCGTTAAAGTGTTTTATTTAAATGTATAATCAATTTTAAATTTGACACTCAGTTTAAATTAAGATCACGAGATGGCGCTAAAACAAAATAATAGCATTTGTAAAATGTTTAATAAAATGCAGTAAATATATTTGATTCACACAAATGATTATAAATAATTTTCCACTTTACAATTCGTCTCTTTCGCTTCTGGGCGTGATGGATATCTTCCAACTATCAGGTGTCCAATCTTTCTCAACTACCCTCTTTTGTATAATACGTTTATACACCAACGCTGAAAGTCTTGCCGTTCTAGTTTTTTCTTCGGCTTCAAAATCTACTTCATACAATCCAAAACGTTCACTGTAACAAAACGTAATAGACAAACTTTCTCTCCGTATATGCCATTTATTTTTAAACACCAGCCACACATCCTTACACAATTATTCCAATATGAGAGTGACTTACAATAATGTTTTTATTACATTTTTTATCGATCCTATAGATATAATCCATATTTGTCTTTATCTAATCGCTCAGCCTACAATTAAAAATGTCTATTTTATAATTGACAAAAATGTGAAGTGAATATTTGGAGAAAAGTATATGAGGTTTGTTTTCGCGGGGATCATGGTAAGTGTTCGATTACGTCGTACGAAGGCTGGAACTTAAAAGATGATGAAGTACGCCATTGGATCAAATGTGGTTCCTCTCAGCACCTTGAACACATACGTGGCCAACGCTAAGTGTCTTTTCGCCTCTATACGAAAAGCGTTGGATACATTAAGGGGGAGTAAGTATGCACCCTTGCCCTTGGCTTGCACCCAAAGCCTTCGGTATAAGTGTCTCTTGAAGTTTTATGAATAAGCTCAAATACAACGCTACTGTGGCGCCCACACAATAGTTACTTCTAGCTGGCTTCTTACCAATGCGTTATAATGTACCACTGTAATGGTTCTGGTACTGGTAAACAAGGTCTCCGAAAGACAAAACCCAGTCGCTTAAAGGCTTTTTTACTCACGCAGACGAGGCCCCTAAATATGTACGTTGCGTGTATAGTAAGCCTAAGTTAAAAGACAAACCCTAAGATAAAGACGTGCCTGCCATCTTGTATTCGTGGATCTTTGCTTAACAAAATGTAAACGCATGATTTAGCTAAATAAACTTGAAGCTTAACGGTTTAAAACGCGATATATTAGTTAAACTTATTTAAAAATTATTTTTAACTTCGGCTCGGCGTTTCGGATGCTTTGCAGCCGTGGTCACGGGGAGACTAAAGATGGAGGATGTCTCTGACGTCGAAGTAAAAATTGCTACGCTAGCGCCATCTGTTCCGTCGAAGTTGGTATTTGGCGAAATTGGTCGGGTCCTTACAGAATTGACTAACGGAAGTTGGTATTTGGCCGGTTTCGCTAAATTTTTTTGCGAAACTGGCAAACTCTGGCAATTTTGAGCAAGCTGCTGCAAAGCATCCGAAACGTCGATCGCGTTTTAACCCGTTAAAGTGTTGTATTTAATATTTACCTTGTCCCAGCATTCCATTCAACATTATCCATCAAGCTCCACACAGTGTATCCCATCACTTTAGTCCCATCCTCTATAGCAAACAACAAAGCTATCAAATATTCCCTCAAATAGTCAACCCTAGATCTGTCGTTTAGACTCGTTCCAGTGGACCAGCCCTGCTCCGTGACAAATGTTTGCGGGTAGTTGTATTTTTCATTCAGATATAGGCATAGCTTGTATATACCGTATGGAGCACTCTGGAAAAATATATGTTAGATGAGAGAATTACAGCTTAAAATAATTAAGCCACTAAATTAGCTTATGTTAAAGTGGATTGGTGGACAAAAAAAAATATTTTATTATTTTATGCCCTTAAGCATAAAGTATCTTTAATATACCTTTAGCCAAGAACTCTTTCCAGAGACCCATTCGTCGCTCTGTGTCAGAAGTACGCCGATATCGTCCTGTAATGAGGGTACTTCGAAAATCTCATCACTGTCAGTTCGAGCCTCGACGAATACTGACGTATAATGATTTATGCCGACGAAATCTGCTGATCCTGTATTATATGATATATTAATTTTATGATTTTACATAAATAAAACACTTTAAACGGATCAAAACACGAATGATATTAGGTAATTAAATATTTATTTACCTATTATATTCACTTTAAAAGAATGCCATACGCTTCGGATGCTTTACAGCAGTTCGTTGAAATAAATTAAACATAATTTAAGTAATGTCCTTCGCGCTTTACTGCTTCTTTTTAAATGACTATAAAGAACCTTACCTATTTTAATCCTCACTATCCTTACTAATAGTATAAATGCGAAAATAACTCTGTCTGTCTGTCTGTCTGTTACTCTTTCACGCCAAAACTACTGAACGGATTTGAATGGTATACAGATGGTCTAGACCCTGAGTAAGAACATAGGCTACTTCTTATTGCGAAAAGGGGGTTGTAAGGGGTTAAGGGGGGGGGGGGTGAAAGTTTGTATGGAAGTTCGTGGTTTTTGAAGCTAGAACAATGAAACTTTCTTTTTTGGCTTTTTGGAAATAGTAGTGGGAGTGGAGTGGGAATGAGAGTGAGAGTGGGAGTTGGAGTAGGAGTGATGTGAGGTGAGTGTTGCGGCAAAGTAGCACTTGCAACATAGATTGGCTGCGATAAATGCGCAATTACATAAATTAATAAACAGCCTAAATAATTAAAAATTTTACCACAAGTCACTATACCACGCGAACAGAGTCGCGCACAGCTAGTGTATAATAAATATGCAAAAATTACCCTTTAAAAGTTTAATTTCTTCTGAACTCAGTGTGGGTAGTCGAGACTTTTCGTAGCCTTGCTCCTTACTCTTCTTCATTACTCTATTCCTTACTGTTTTAGGGAAATCCCCGTATTTTGACCAAATTGGATTCATGTATAGACCAATCTTAAAACACCAATTAAAATATAGAATCCAATTTTTTTAGGATATAAAATTTAATTAAGAAAAACGTCTTAAATATTAAACTTTAACACTTACAAAAAGGAGAATATCTATAAAGGATGTAATAATAATACAATAATGTGTAATAATAACAATACCATTGATAAAAATAGTAAAACTGGTGTTAATCTCTATATGTTTGTACCGGTATTCAAACCAAGAAACTCTCACGCATAATGCAATCAAATGACTGAGCCACTGTGATGTTAAAAAAAATATAACTTACAGTGAAATCTCTAAATATTTCAGCCGCTTCCTGATTTTCTGTTTTGTTATTTAGGGGGTGACCAAAGTTCAAAGACAGAGATATACCGACCGAACCTAAAAATTAAAAGAAAATATAACCAACATGTAATAAATACGTTAATAATTAAAAAAAAAAACTATATTTATTACATTTTTATAAAATAATTAATTTCAATTATGTTTCAAATCATAACAGAAGGTTGAAACATCATTTTTTTTATTAAAATTATCTATTTATATTATAATATATTAATTTTAATTATGTCTTTTAAACCATAATATCTTAAGAAAACTTTATCTTAGAAAAATACTATACTGTACTTACCCTTATATTTGTTTTTATACTCCTTCTCATATAATCTGTAAGCTTTAGCATGAGCCAGCAACACATGCTTGACACACATATAGTCTCCTAAGCCTTTTGACTTAATTCCAGGAGCTGTTATTCCACCATAACCTATATATAAATATATACAAGTATATAATTGTCAAAACACCTTTTCAAAACCAGGGATTCAAAGTATGTATGTATCCTTTGTTAAAATAAAATACTGTAATGGAGGCTACCTCTAAAATATAAAGAGCTGATTAAAATAATACATACTCTCAAAACAAAACGATGGCTGATTGATAGTTATCCAAAATTTGACCCTATCTGCATATCTGTCGAATAGCAACCTGGTGTAGTCTTCGAACCACTGTACCACCAGAGGACTCGCCCAGCCACCAAGCTCTTGCAACGACTGAGGTAAGTCGAAGTGATATATTGTAACCATAGGTTCAATACCATACTTCAGTAATTCATTGATTAAGTTATCATAGTACTGTAAGCCTTTTTCATTTATGTCATTTGTTAAACCTGTAAAAAGTATGTTTCCAATGTATTGAGTATCTAGTAAAAGTTTAATATTATAGCAATTTATTTTTAAAAATTAACAGAGTAAAACAGACAAGTTTGGGGTCAACTTGATAGAAGGTAAATAACCCCACTCTTTAATTTTAATATTCTCACCCCCTTTTAAATTGACAAGGATTTTCAGAAGAAGCCTAATTAGATTCAGAAAAAAATAAAACATTTCAGAAACATGTTGGAACCCATGGAAATTTAACCCATGAATACTTAACAATATTAGCATATTATAATTATAAAATCAAATCTAAGCTATTAATTAAAAATATAACATCACAACATCCATCAACTCACCCGTGGGTAGTACTCTTGGCCAAGAAATAGAAAAGCGGTAGTGATCAACACCGAGTTCCCTCAGCATCTCCACATCACGTTTGTATTGGTGGTAGGAGTCACATGCTATATCACCATTTCTACCATCAGCTATCAACTCCGGGTGGTCATGCAAGTATTTGTCCCATATGCTTTCACCTTTACCTATAATCAGAAAATACTTATAATTAACATTTGAATACAGGGACTCAGGATTCTGACTGCTACAATTTGGTTTGATTTGGGGTCATTAATATTTTAACATAAGTACCATTACATCTCTGTGGGGTAACATATTGGAATTATGTCTTTTCGTCTCCCTTATTGGATAAATTTATAGGTAAGTGATTTATTTTACTTTATTATTATTTTGTTGAATTAAAATTTTTCTAACTCCCCAACTAAGTCTTACCATCTGTATCCCAAGCCCCTTCCACTTGATAGGCTGATGTAGCAACTCCAAAAAGAAACTCCTTCTTAAACTTGCGAATTCTGGTGTCCGACCAGCCCCGTACAGCTGTCACACTGTGCCATATATATTCTATGAGTTACTTCCAAAAGAAGTTATTTATACAACTATGTACTTCATATTCTATGCAATACACAAGCTGCTGTGTTCTCCCATGTATTTTTATGCAGGGAAATGTCTATTATTAACGCATGCTAAGTGATGATAATTCCTATAGATAGATTTTATATTCTTATAGATATTAATATAGCAAATTTTTTCATTTTAATGTGTCTAGTTTATCAAGAACACGGCAGCGAGACGAATCTTGTAATTTACGTAACAATAACTTTAACACATTACAAACGTTTAGAATAAATCCGTTACAATTCCAAAAATATATTTAATGGCATGCATATTTAAGAGCATGAATCAACACTTGTTTTGTAGAATACTAAATTACGGTATGTTTCTTAGCCTTTTTATATAGGAAATCGTATACCTTTAATCTTATGAGCATGTTTTTACTAAGTAAATAACTTACCAAAATAGAAGTAAACACAATCTCATTTTATTTATTTTCACTCAATTCATAAGAACACTGAAGAATTTTCTGTCAAGTTGAAACTAAAACTGATAAATTTACTAGTGACAACACGGTACATTAATTGTTATCTGATAATTATTTTAATTATATGATCATTGTATTTATCTACGTGCGAAGTGCGACAAAAAATGATAATATGTCAAAATCTATGACGCGCTTGAATTTCCCGCTCTCGTTTGATTTCGCTTTGAATGTCAATTGTCATTTGAATATACAGGTTATGTTTAACGTGCTTATCTTCTCACAGAATAGAGTACTGTTTTTTATATTTAAAATTAATATAGAAACTAAATTAACTAAGACTGAAACTAATTGCATACGTCTATCACGATATTGTTTTAAACGTATGGAAATCGTGAGTATTATATTGTAAATGTATAGTAGCTGTTATTTGAGTTTTATTATATTTAATTAAAATCTTTGTTTTGACCAGTTATCAGCAGGCCGATTTTGTAACTTTTGACAATCAGTTATCAACTAGCCTTCAGTTGTCCACCGTAATTCGATGATAACTAAATGATGGTAACTATTGGTATTTTGTAACTTGGTGAGTTACGGTGACTAACATGGCGGAATAGACACTTATAACGTAAACACAGAACATCACTATTTTTTATCGACTATTATTCGACCAAATTGTGAAAGCGTTGTCTCCAGTGATAATACACGTACTTTAAGAACATTTTATTTTGACTACTTATGTCCTTGAAAATTACGGCTTGGCGGCTATTTCGAATACTTTAAAGTTCTTATTTCATTTTTGTTTATGTTATTGTTAATTGAAACGTTGTGAAGAGTTAGTTGTTAACTATAATGGATCGTTGTATGAAGTGTAAATGTTTAGTTAAATTAATAACATCGCGCTGTACAATTGTGTTTTAACAAACTAAAACGTACAATCGCTTTAAAATGCCTGCACCGAGAAAAGTTAGTGGAAGGCAAATGGAATTGCTGGTGGACTTTGCGGAAAGGAACCCCAATATAGCATTGGGAATAATAGGCACCGTAGCTGTAGAAGGATTGCCTGGTATACGCATTCATGTATCGGTTAGTAATCTAAAAAATAATTATCAAATCCAAATTGCATTAGAAATGATTTTAAATTTTTTTATTTGTTTTTCATTCCATTAAAATATGATTTTTAGGTCCCACCTATCTCTTCTCAAAGCACATTCATACAATCGACGTCAACTCCGGAGCCGGCAGATATGCATATAGAATGGCTAGAAGAAGATATAGAGGATAATGAAACTCAGTCACAATCTGAAACATCTAAGGACGGAGGTTTGTGTACAGACATTTTAAAGTCTGTTACCTACCTATTATAAATAATATCTTTTAGATAATAATTCTGCTGTGACATAGTGTGTGTGTTTACTATGACTACACTGTGAAACCTGTATAATATTAGTTGTAACTATGTTCACAGAATTTGTACTTCACCAACTCACCACCAATGTTGTACCAACCAGCGAACCACCACCACAACACCGACCACATACAACAACTCTACCACAACGACGAAGTATCAAATTTTCTACTTCATTTATTAATGAATAATTTCTTTGGCTAATAATGTTTTTTATTATGCCATATCGTAAGACTGACATTCCGTCCCTATTTTATTTATTTTGTAATTACTCATCTTATAATATGATTTAATGTGACATATATGTATATGATATTAAAAGCTACACAACTAAAATTAATACATACATAATAAATTAGTTCCTTTTGCAAAGGTTGCAAACCGACTGGTGAAATATGTCAATCGAAATAAATATTTTTTACTCCTAACACCGGCTTGCTAAATTTAGGATAACATAATAATTTTTCTTCATTAATTACAGTTCGTCAACGTGAAAGGCCACCACCTCAATATTATCTTCTATCTTAGGCTATTCAAATCGAAAGAAGACGTGTTGCAGCGGAAGAGAGAATGGCAAATAATGTGCAATCACTTGCTGAATTAAATAGGGAAATTAGAGATGACATAAGACATTTTGTTAATAAATAGAAGAGATATAAATGGTAAATTTTTATTCTGATAGTTATAAGTTCCTCTAAATTAATACAATTATTGACTTTTTAATGTTAAAGCGTATTAAAAAAATTACAACTAATTATTTACAACATCTAACATTATGGTACACTTACAAACCTTAAAATATATGCTATTTATATCATAACTGGAATTTAACTTAAATTAACTAAATAAAGTTAGATTTTAAATAAAATCATATATCTAATAATATACAAAAAATTATAGTATTACACATTATAAAAATAAACTTATTAACTATTTCTATTAAAAAACTAAAGTACTTGTCTTATTATAAAAAAAATATTCCGAATCCCACATTCTCTGTACAAGAGTTTTTTATTTTGTTCTTCAGCTAAACTCAACATAATTAGACGTGCCATAATTCTGCAATATTATGAAACACAAATAAAAATCACTAAACGACAAGAAAAATAATAATCACATTGTTAATCACCAAAATATAAGAATAAAACACTACCTTTGAGTAGTGTCTTTCAACGATCAAAGTGAATAACAGTTTGATGATAACTAAGCGTACAAAATCGCAAGTTTTCAAATATCGATACAAAAACTCATTTACGGTGACGATCAACAATCTCGGTTCCTTTTGACGTCATAATCGTTAGCAATCGAAAATAGCAAATACCAAAATGGCTCTTTGACAGATAGTTGTTGTCAACTAATGTCTAGTGATTAACACTATTGAGTTACAAAATCGCCCTGCAGTTGTGTTTATATTGATTTTATTCAGACACTCGTGCTGACGTCAGGAACTTATATCACGCGGAAATACATTACTTTATAATAAATATTAAATAGAGCATACACATGTTCATATCGTTGATTTATTCTTATGGTTATGTAAGAAGGGATTTTAAAAGTAAATTAATTTGATGTAGATAATGTAGAAAGACAATAGACTATAACAAGTCTCAATTGAATTTAAAGCATTTGTTAAATAAAAAAAATGAGCCCTTAGTCTTTTATCGGGCTTTAGTTTAAACCTTTCGAGTTGCAATTTGCAATCCTCGTTACTCTACCCCTTAGTGAACTCGATTCTCTAAGACCCGAGTTCAAATGCCGAATTGGGCAAAGTGAGGTATTTGGATTTTTCCAATACCACAAAAAGGTAGCTAACTGCCTTAGCTTTCATTACTAAATAAAATAATCGGTAAATTCCATTAACCTGCACTGTAGTAGCGTGGTGGGCTCAACAGTGGGATATTAAGAGGTTGCGACGCTCAAGACAGACAATCGCCAAATGTTGTGGACCCTCGGCGAGCATAAAGGCCCCCCACAAACCCATTTCCACTCAATAACAAGTATGACCTCCCGTTAGATTACGTAACGCAACGTCCTAATCTCATACTCAGTTTATTCCAATCTCGAGTGCTATAAGCATGGATTTCATACATTTTTCCTCTGACACATTTAAAAATTATCTTATTTATGAAACATGTTAGATTTTGATAATATTCGCGTTTGTTGTATATAAGTGTTTGCCGTTTGCTCTTTAGTACAGAATCACAATGAAGCTGTTAGTTATAAGGTATGTTTTTATTTATTTTTTACATATTGAATATTTTTTAATTTAAATTTTAAGATTAAGGTGACTGCTTGAAGTACATCTATGAGAAATTACGTTTGATTTAATATAAAAATATTATAATTTTTTCTTTGTATTTAGTATGAAAATTAACGACCTTTATATGTAATAACATCCAGTCGACTTATATGGATGAGGTTTTCTACGCATACATGGTGATCAAAGGGATTTGTGTAAAATTAAATTATAATCGGCAACTTTATAATAGTGCTGTTTTAATTTTAAAAACGGTTTAAAAAATTATAGTTTTACAAATTATTGTACAGGATAGTATAAAAGAGCACCAGTAGTATACAAGTACCTATTGTCTGTAGTTTACGCGAGTAGCAAATTTAAAACCACTTTTAATGGTTTTAACGCAAAATATAGATATTAGGTAACTAAAATATTTTAACCGTTAAAATGAAAAATATACCTACTTCGTAACAAAAACAGTTTATTAGGTATTTATGATTTCGAAAAAAAAAATTTGTACCATTCTAGTAAATTATGTATTAAATTTCAACTCCTGCCCCTTTTAGATCTAAGTACGTAAAATAGCTGACGTTACCTTCCTCATCAAAGTAATGACCAAAATTGACGCTCACGAGTTACTATAGATAATATGAGGCCGCTAGAGACAAGGTGGCCTAACTGCAATTTTACGACTTGACTTATTTATATTTTCATAGTGTTACAGCTACAGGAGCACTGTGACCGAAAATTGTTACACAAATAATACTTAGTACAAATTCATTTTCGCTAGTTACTTAATTGTGTTTTTTTCTTCCTCTTCGAGACACTTCACCTATTTTACGTTTCTTCTCCCAAAACCAATTACAGACAAAACTAACTATAAACTAACTACGACGTTAGTAACACAAAACGCTTTCTTGCTTCTAATTTTTAATCTAAAACCAAAAACATGTAATTCTTTCCGATAATTAATCAATCTACTATCCTATCCTATCGTACCAGCTCTGTAAGTTTTGCATATGTGAGTAAATAAAAACCTAATATACTTCGCGTTCGTTAAGTGTACACATACACCGTTAAGTGTTTTATTTAAATAGAATTACAATCTAATAAAAAAAATATTTCGTGTTAGATAGCGAAAACAGAAATAAAAAGTTAGTCGCATTACGCAATTAGACGATAGAAATAGAAAAATAGTGTTCTTGTTTTTAAACTTGTTTTAAAAGCAATTTAGCTATCGTAGTTAATGACTAAGTACAATCTTTTTCATTGTTTTTATATATCTTGATGTGAAAATATTTAACTGTACAGAACTAAACCAATAAACTCACCTCTTTGATAAATAAATTCGAAACCCGTATTGTTTGCTAATTCGTTCTGACTATATGAATAAGTAATCAAGTATGTATAACGTTTTGTATATATTTTGCCGCGTTTATTACTGGCACTACGAAAACATTTGAAAGCTGATAACTTTTCTTTTTTTTTCATTCGTGGCAAGAAACAAAGCTGATAACTTCAACAGTGTCATTTTTTAATTAATTAATTTTCTGTCTGTGGTTTTTGACTAACATAGAGGTTTACAAAACGAGTTAAATGGTATCATAATATTGTCTGTTTGAACTCTTGTTAAATTATATACGTATTGTTATAATTTATAATAATAATAATAATAATATGGCTCTGTTAAAACACTATTTAATATTTTTTGTCAGCTACGTAGGTTTTATAGAAATTAAAAAACGATTTTAAATGGAAACTTTTAAAATATCAAGCTATCACGTGGAAAAAAATCTTCCAAACGTTTAACGTAGGTTAACGTAGGTTTTCCATTACTTATGACTTATTTTACACGTTTATCGAGATCATTGGTTTTTAAAACAAGTTTTAACGCCATTAATGACTTAAATTTGATGGATGATTTTTTCCACGTAAATCGTTTGGTTTTCATTCCTGTAACAGTACCTACCATTTACTATTTTTTTGGGAAGCGGATAGAAGTTTACCTGCCCTTTGGTCTTTATAATATATATTTATAATAATTATAAATATATATTATAAAAATGTTAAATTGTGGTCATTAAGATGCTTAGCATACACGTTTGGTGTCAAGAATATTGCAAGGTTAAGCACATCTTAGCATTATCGTTTTACATTTAAAATGGCGGACCGATTACGGGCTATAATTAAAAGGGGATTTTGTTTAACATATATTATATAGTCGTTAAATAGTCTAGTAGTTATATTGCTCCACGATATAATTACCCCCTATAATTTCATATATATTACATATTTTGGCTAAACGTGTGATTATCTCAATGTGTAGAGCCGGTAGCGTATCTAGGTGGACAAGGGCCCTGCTACATAAAAATGAAATTATATAAGGCTCCAAAATTATGTATGTAAAAGAACAGTTAATTTAAAAACTTATTTTGTTTTCTTTACTTTACGCTTTTCGAAGATGAGGTATTAGGGGCCCCCCTAAGTTACGGGGTCCTAGTGCCCTACCTGGCTCTATGATAGCTACGCCACTGTACAACAACAGCACGGAAAACAGTGGTCGCAGATTCATGTCGCGAACATGTCATCAAATTGTTTCAATAAGAAATAGATTTTTAATTTGCTACCGTCTTATAAGGGGTCTTGTGTATTTCATTATGTTAAGAAATGTATGTACTGGTCCTCGCGTGACACATAAAATCGGTTTTATTATGGGTCTGTAATAAAACTGATTGTATAGCCATGTAACAAATGTAACTTAATGATAAAGTATCTTTTTGAAGCTGTGGCGATTTAACTCTTTTTATCATTATTATTGTTTAAATAAAACACTATAACGGTTTAAAACGCGAGATATATTAGTTAAACTTATAGCCTCCTTGTGACCACGGCTGCTGCAAAGCATCCGAAACGTCGGGCCGAAGTTAAAAATAATTTTAAAACTAGTTTAACTAATATATATCGCGTTTTAAACCGTTAAAGTGTTTTATTTAAATGTGTACTACTCGCGTAAACTACAGACAGTATGTTATTATTATTGTTTTTTTTTCTGTAAGCAATGTTTGTAAGTTTTATGTGCTATAACGGATATTTCTCTGACACCACTACGATCTCCAATCTAAGATCGATCTTGCAAAAATGATCACGGATTGCGGGTAAGCTGTATCCGCATCTATCAATTTGAATACAAAATTTGAAAACATTAATATTTTTACATGTTATTGCACATGAAGGCACTATATAATTTAAACATCGAAAATAAATTGAAAAAATTTTCGACTCGGGCAGTACTTGAACCTGCCCGAGTCAAGCTGCTGACGATGCCGGTTCAAGTCCTGCCCGAGTCGAAAATTTTTTCAATTTATTTTCGATTTTTAAATTACAAAATTTGAGTCGACTGTTATGAATTAACCAGATCTTTCTTGGTCTGGTGTTACGGATGGCAATAAGAACAATACCTTTGCCCTCGAGCGTAATTCTAAAATTTAAATTTTTGTATAAATTATTGAACGTGCTCTCTATGTAAGCACCATAAGAAAACCTGCTTGTCCTAGATCCATACTATTGTTTACAATTATAAATCAACAGCTGTGTCCACGACTTAGTGCGCTTGTGTGTAGTGAAATAGTTATGGTCTTCATATTTTTAATTTTTACAAAAAACCAACTCAGCTTTATATATAGGTAGAGTTAGTCTTAAAAGATTCAAGACGACATACGAGTATACTGTCGCGGACACTTCTTTAGATCATTCAAAGAGGTATCATTCTTTCACGCGTTTTTGGTTCCCAAAACGTTTTCACAGCGTACACAACCGTAGACCGCAAAGTTGAATCATTTTCCCCGTTATTTCCACATTTTCATCTTCTTCCTCGATCCCATTGGTCGCAGCCAGATGTTTATAGCCAATGCTCTAACCAACACAAAAAGATTTCTTTAATTCTATTCAGTTCCAGAGTTTAACGTTCATATAAACAAATTAACTCTTCAGCTATATTAGTATAGATTTCGGACCACGAATGTCATGTTATCTCGTCGTGCGTCAGTTGTTTTTCCTCACTTTTATTGTCCTTACTCATCATATAATAACACTTCTCTTATAGTTTCCTCGTAGCGAGCTGCTATGCTCTTCCAAAACAAGAGAGGACGTTCCCTGATGACTTCCTCTTTGGCTGTGCCACTGCCTCCTACCAGATAGAAGGGGCTTGGAACGCTGATGGTAAGTAGCAAACTTAAGGTTGTTTTAAAATTAGCAGCGTTATCTTAATGGCTTATAGATTATCTACTGGCGGTAGTTTACGCGAGTAGTAAACATTTAAATAAAACACTTTAACGGTTTAAAACGAGAAATTTATTAGTTTAACTTATTTAAGTCTCCCCGTGACCACGTGCAGAGCATCCGAAACGACGGGCTGTAAGTAAAATAATTTTCAAATAAGTTTAACTCATAAATTTCGGGTTTTAAGCCGTTAAAGTGTTTTTTTATATGTCATCTTTTCGTGTGCTTTCTGGTTTAATGAAACAAACTTGTTTAGGAAGTATTTATATAACTACTAATATGATATAATACTCTTGAGCGATAATATTATATAAGTTATAATTTATCCACTCGAAAATTTTATTTATTTTATATAATTTGTAGCGTACCTACTTCTTGTTTAAATATACTTTTAACGGTTTTAAACGCAAATGATTTTAAACAAAGTTTTTCAGATAGAAAAATACTACACACTAACAAGCATATTTATGCATAACACATACATACTACTCATAATTTTAAAATTCGACAATGACATGTTTAGTACTTGGTAGGTCAATTGGTTAGCAACAGAACGGAACGTTGTTGATGCCGGGTCAAATCCTGCCCGTGTCGTAAAACATTTTTCAAACTAAAATCGAGTTTTAGTTTATGCAAAGTATTTTATATAAACTCGCGTAAACTACAAACAATTTACTTCTTGTACAAACTATAACATTTTCTCAGGTAAAGGCGAAAACATATGGGACCGCATGACTCACACGATGCCCGAAGTCATCAGAGACAAAAGCAACGGCGACGAAGCCGCCGACTCCTACCACAACTACAAACGGGACGTCGAAATGATGAGAGAATTGGGCCTAGACGCCTACAGATTCTCGCTCTCGTGGTCCAGAATCCTGCCCAACGGTCTAGCTAACCACGTGAACCCAGCAGGAATCGAATACTATAACAATCTTATCAACGAGATGCTCAAATACAACATTAAGCCTTTAGTGACGCTGTACCACTGGGATCTGCCGCAAAAGATCCAGGATCTAGGTGGTTTCCTCAACCCCTTATTCCCGGAATGGTTTGAGGATTACGCTCGAGTTGTGTTCGAGAATTTTGGTGATAGAGTCAAGCATTGGATCACGTTTAACGAACCGAGGGAAATTTGCTACGAGGGTTACGGCTGGAGTACAAAAGCCCCACGTCTGAACGCAACAGACGTCGGTACATACATGTGTGCCAAGCAGCTGGTTCTAGCTAATGCAAGAGCGTACTACCTATATGATAAGGACTTCCGAGCTAGCCAGAATGGACAATGTGGTATTACTATAAGCGTGAATTGGTTCGGCCCTTTGACAGATTCTGAAGAAGACCAGAACGCTGCCGAGATCAGGCGACAGGCTGAGGTATGCAAACTTATTTTGTAAAAGACTGTAGTGAGTAGCTTAAATAGTTAGAGTAATAGCACGGAATGCTGTGTATACCGGATCAACTTCTGCCCGAGTCGTAATTTTTTCAATTTATAATCGATTCGTAATAAATACTTTCGGATGCTTTGCAGCAGCCGTGGTTACGGAAGATGCTTGCATTATTTGCGTTTTAAACGTTATGGTGTTTTATTTAAACTTTATTTGTGAAAGAAGGGATTTTTTTTAACCCGATGCCATCAAACCCACGCTTAGTGCTTAAGCATACGTTGCTATAGACCAGTGAGCCCGTCCTTTTTTTCTGGTTAAGTAATGATAGTCTAATGGCTGGTCGCTGTGGTTACTGCTTAAACTTGGATTAGCTACAGATAAATATATCTTACGGTTATATTGAGTTTAACTGCCATTGCCTTTTTGAATAAACCGACATTAATAATCACTAAACATTTAAATAAAACCATTTGTAACGGTTTCAAACACGAAATGTATTACAACATTTATTACTTTGACTACGGCCCGACGTTTCATCAGACCCCGCGTGGCCATGGCTGATGCAAAGCATTCGAACCAATCTATGTCACATTTTAAACCGTTTTCAGTGTTTTATTTAAAAGTGATTCAATATTGATATATAGCAGCCAATTATTTGAAAATTAATATTTTTCACATTTATTGCACATGAAGCACTATTAATTTAAAAATCGAAAATAAATTGAAAAAATTTTCGACTCGGGCAGGACTTGAACCGGCACGTCAGCTTTCCTCTGTTGCTCTACCAATTGAGCTACCGAGTCCTACACCTCATCGTCGAATTTTTTCAACTTTTGATACATGCACCTCTCGCGCAATGTAATTTCTACCTTAACACTTCTATTAAGGCTCAATGTCTTATGCTTTGCAGCTTAAGAAATCATTGAAGATGAAATTACAAAGTTATAACTTTGAAAACATTAATATTTTTCACATGTTATTGCACATGAAGGCACTATATAATTTAAAAATCGAAAATAAATTGAAAAAATTTTCGACTCGCAGGACTGAACCGCATCTCACTTTCCGTGCTGTTGCTCTACCAATTGAGCTACCGAGTCCTACACCTCATCGTCGAATTTTTTCAACTTATTGATACATCACCTCTCCGCAATGTAATTTCTACCTTAACACTTGCGTATTAAGGCTCAATGTCTTATGCTTTGCAGCTTAAGAAATCATTGAAGATGAAATTACAAATTATAACGTTTGAAAACATTAATATTTTTCACATGTTATTGCACATGAAGGCACTATATAATTTAAAAATCGAAAATAAATTGAAAAAATTTTCGACCCGACTTGAACCCATTCAGCTTTCCGTCTTTGCTCTACCAATTGAGCTACCAGTCCTACACCTCATCGTCGAATTTTTTCAACTTATTGATACATGCACCTCTCGCGCAATGTAATTTCTACCTTAACACTTGCGTATTAAGGCTCAATGTCTTATGCTTTGCACCTTAAGAAATCATTGAAGATGAAATTACAAAGTTTAACGTTTGAAAACATTAATATTTTTCACATGTTATTGCACATGAAGGCACTATATAATTTAAAAATATAAATATATATAAATTCGAAAATAAATTGAAAAAAAAATTTTTTCAATTTATTTTCGATTTTTAAATTATATAGTGCCTTCATGTGCAATAACATGTGAAAAATATTAATGTTTTCAAACGTTATAACTTTGTAATTTCATCTTCAATGATTTCTTAAGCTGCAAAGCATAAGACATTGAGCCTTAATACGCAAGTGTTAAGGTAGAAATTACATTGCGCGAGAGTGCATGTATCAATAAGTTGAAAAAATTCGACATGAGGTGTAGGACTCTACTCAATTGGTAGAGCAACAGCACGGAAAGCTGACGATGCCGGTTCAAGTCCTGCCCGAGTCGAAAATTTTTTCAATTTATTTTCGATTTTTAAATTATATAGTGCCTTCATGTGCAATAACATGTGAAAAATATTAATGTTTTTCAAACGTTATAACTTTGTAATTTTCATCTTCAATGATTTCTTAAGCTGCAAAGCATAAGACATTGAGCCTTAATACGCAAGTGTTAAGGTAGAAATTACATTGCGCGAGAGGTGCATGTATCAATAAGTTGAAAAAATTCGACGATGAGGTGTAGGACTCGGTAGCTCAATTGGTAGAGCAACAGCACGGAAAGCTGACGATGCCGGTTCAAGTCCTCCCGCCCGAAGTCGAAAATTTTTTCAATTTATTTTCGATTTTTTAAATTATATAGTGCCTTCATGTGCAATAACATGTGAAAAAATATTAATGTTTTCAAACGTTATAACTTTGTAATTTCATCTTCAATGATTTCTTAGCTGCAAACATAAGACATTGAGCCTTAATACGCAAGTGTTAAGGTAGAAATTACATTGCGCGAGAGGTGCATGTATCAATAAGTTGAAAAAATTCGACGATGAGGTGTAGGACTCTACTAATTGGTAGACAACACACGGAAAGCTGACGATGCCGGTTCAAGTCCTGCCCGAGTCGAAAATTTTTTCAATTTATTTTCGATTTTTAAATTATATAGTGCCTTCATGTGCAATAACATGTGAAAAATATTAATGTTTTCAAACGTTATAACTTTGTAATTTCATCTTCAATGATTTCTTAAGCTGCAAAGCATAAACATTGACCTTATACGCAAGTGTTAAGGTAGAAATTACATTCGCGAGAGGTGCATGTTCAATAAGTTGAAAAAATTCGACATGAGGTGTAGGACTCGTACTCAATTGGTAGAGCAACAGCACGGAAACTGACGATGCCGGTTCAAGTCCTGCCCGAGTCGAAAATTTTTTCAATTTATTTTCGATTTTTAAATTATATAGTGCCTTCATTGCAATAACATGTGAAAAATATTAATGTTTTCAAACTTATAACTTTGTAATTTCATCTTCAATGATTTCTTAAGCTGCAAAGCATAAGACATTGAGCCTTAATACGCAAGTGTTAAGGTATAAATTACATTGCGCGAGAGGTGCATGTATCAATAAGTTGAAAAAATTCGACATGAGGTGTAGGACTCGTACTCAATTGGTAAGCAACACACGGAAAGCTGACGATGCCGGTTCAAGTCCTGCCCGAGTCGAAAATTTTTTTCAATTTATTTTCGATTTTTTAAATTATATAGTGCCTTCATTCAATAACATGTGAAAAATATTAATGTTTTCAAACTTATAACTTTGTAATTTCATCTTCAATGATTTCTTAAGCTGCAAAGCATAAGACATTGACCTTAATCGCAAGTGTTAAGGTAAAATTACATTGCGCGAGAGGTGCATGTATCAATAAGTTGAAAAAATGAGAGTACTCGGTAGCTCAATTGGTAGACAACACACGGAAACTACGATGCCGGTTCAAGTCCTGCCCGAGTCGAAAATTTTTTCAATTTATTTTCGATTTTTAAATTATATAGTGCCTTCATTGCAATAACATGTGAAAAATATTATGTTTTCAAACGTTATAACTTTTAATTTATCTTCAATGATTTCTTAAGCTCAAAGCATAAACATTCCTTACAGTGTTAAGGTAAATTACATTGCGCGAGAGGTGCATGTATCAATAAGTTGAAAAAATTCGACATGAGGTGTAGGACCGGTACTCAATTGGTAGAGCAACAGCACGGAAAGCTGACGATGCCGGTTCAAGTCCTGCCCGAGTCGAAAATTTTTTCAATTTATTTTCGATTTTTTAAATTATATAGTGCCTTCATGTGCAATAACATGTGAAAAATATTAATGTTTTCAAACGTTATAACTTTGTAATTTCATCTTCAATGATTTCTTAAGCTGCAAAGCATAAGACATTGCGCCTTAATACGCAAGTGTTAAGGTAGAAATTACATTGCGCGAGAGGTGCATGTATCAATAAGTTGAAAAAATTCGACGATGAGGTGTAGGACTCGGTAGCTCAATTGGTAGAGCAACAGCACGGAAAGCTGACGATGCCGGTTCAAGTCCTGCCCGAGTCGAAAATTTTTTTCAATTTATTTTCGATTTTTAAATTATATAGTGCCTTCATGTGCAATAACATGTGAAAAATATTAATGTTTTCAAACGTTATAACTTTGTAATTTCATCTTCAATGATTTCTTAAGCTGCAAAGCATAAGACATTGAGCCTTAATACGCAAGTGTTAAGGTAGAAATTACATTGCGCGAGAGGTGCATGTATCAATAAGTTGAAAAAATTCGACGATGAGGTGTAGGACTCGGTAGCTCAATTGGTAGAGCAACAGCACGGAAAGCTGACGATGCCGGTTCAAGTCCTGCCCGAGTCGAAAATTTTTTCAATTTATTTTCGATTTTTAAGCCATATATTATTTTAACAGAAGATACTGACTAGATAAAACAGCAGTTGTGGCAGTTAAATCCTAAAATATGTCATTTTCAAGAGCCCAATATTACGTAATGGTATCACACATGTCTGTTATTTAAAACTGCATCTTATCGATATCAAGAGAGTATAAAGCAAACAAACAATGACTAACACTTTTATAGTATCTGCGAGAGACGACTAGAACGTTGATATCGATTTATCGTTTTCTTGGAAGCATTTCACAGTCGTTACCACACATATCTACATGTCTACGAAGACATTTTCATTATTCTCGTAAGGGCAAAAAACTTATCAATTAAGCTAAGCATTGACAATACTATTTGAAAAAATTTATGCTTTTCCAACTAAATACTCTGCTATTAAATACTGTCTATAGTTTACGCGATTGGTTTTGAAACACTTTAACGGCAAATACCAACTTCGACGGAACAGATGGCGCTAGCGTAGCAATTTTTTACTTTGACGTCAGAGACATCCTCCATCTTTAGTCTCCCCGTGACCACGGCTGCTGCAAAGCATACGAAACGTCGGGCCGAAGTTAAAAATAATTTTCAAATAAGTTTAACTAATATATCGCGTTTTAAACCGTTAAAGTGTTTTATTTAAATGTGTACTACTCGCGTAAACTATAGACAGTACACTTTAACGGATTAAAACGCGTTATATGTATTAGTCTAAACTCATTTTTTAAGGCTTTATCTTATATTAAGTTAATATTTCTGAGCTGAAACAATCGTTTTTTTACTCTACGAGTAAAAACGAGGCAGGCATCAAAGTTGTAATCTGTGGTTATTACCTGCCTGATATAATCTGTAAATACACAAAAAAGCATATCGTAAAACGGTTATAGAAATATGTCTTAAACAAGATCTTGCACTTCGATGTAATAATAAAGGTTTCCTACAGTAAGCAGTATTAGCAACGCAATCTTAACTTGCAGTGGGGTCTATACGCTGAGCCAATTTTCTCCCAAGAAGGTGGTTTCCCGAAGGAGTTCTCCGAGATCATAGCGAGAAACAGCAAGGAGCAGGGATACCCCAGATCACGTATGCCCGAGTTCACCCAAGAAGAAAAGGAACTTGCCAGGGGAGCTGCTGATTTCTTCGGCGTCAATCATTATACAGCGAATTTGGTGTCTGCCACAGATTATAAACAGGAGTATCCAGTCCCGTCTCTCCATTCTGATGTGAACGCAGGCAGTTACGTCCCACCAGAGTGGCCGAAGTCTGCTTCTAAGTGGTTGACGGTGAGTATTCTTTTGCACAGTTTATGTAGTACTGTAGGTTTTAAAGATGTTCACTTTTTCTCTCCGTAAGAACCATTTTTAAGAATCATCATTGTCATAAAACTGATTTATTTGAGATTTGCGCTAAAAAACAGATTAACTTTTATACTATGGACGCTTATAATGTGGGTTATTTCGCAGGGCACCGTTAGTTTTTATATAACGTATAAGTATATAGATGAGTTTGATTGTCAATACATTTAAAATGCCATCTCATTATCAACAATTTAAAGCTCAATGAAATCCGAATTTCCATAACAATTCAACGGATTAATACGCGCCTGATTAAGTTCTATATATTTGGAACTGTAAACCTTTAGAAACGAACGGGAAAGTGAGACATACGTTTTGATTTTCCAAAAAAAATATAATGAAAAATAGAATGAATGTACAACTACCCTTGCACCTTGACGTACTGAAATATACACCATGCTTTAAAAATCGAAAATAAATTGAGCTGTTGCTCTACCAATTGAGCTCAACTGGTAGAGCAACAGCACGGAACGCTGACGATGCCGGTCCAAGTCCTGGCCAATAACATGTAAAAATTAATAAAGTTTTCATACACCATGCTTTTAAATTAATGTTACAGAGTGTTACTGTGATTGAAGTGATTTTTCCAATAACGTTTATCTGTTTTGAGTCTTTATTTAATTTCCCTTGTAAGTAATTAATCAATAACTTCTTTTTCCTCTAAAAATACTATGTCGAACTCTTCAATTTGCATATACTTTCAGCTAGCACCAAACAGTATTTACAACGTATTAACACACCTCAAGAACAAATACAACGACCCGACCTTCTACATCACGGAAAACGGTTGGTCCACAACCCTGGAAGCTGGTTTGGAAGACGACGACAGGATCACGTACTACAGAGCGGCGTTGAATAGCGTCCTCGATTCTTTGGAGGCAGGTGTCAACCTGAAGGGTTACATGGCCTGGAGTTTAATTGACAACTTCGAATGGATGGAGGGATACTTGTAAGTTTAATTTTGATAAATAACTAGTTAAGTTTTTCTTTTAAGATAGCGTAGTAAGGTTAATTTTGCATGCAAAACCTCTTTCGTTCGATTTACTTTTTGGGACGAAAAGGCTGGACATTTCACATGACTGTTTTATATATAACAAGATCGAGTTATTTCTAAATTATTTTTATCTTTTGATCTGATGGTCTAAACCAATGAGGCACGTTAGGTTTAGATATTTTTCAATATAATATAGATTTCTTATTTATGTAATGCCATCATTTGCACATTAAAATTATAGACTTTTAAAACCAAGTGAAAGTTGTAATAATTTAAATAAAACATATTTAACGGTTGAGAACGCGGAATATATAGACAAGGAAACACCAATACACACGTTACGATAGTCGCTAACTCACATCGTGTATTAGACCGTTAAAACTGTTTTATTAAAATGTGTAATATTCACGTAAAGTACAGACGATAGTTACTTACCTTTACTTGTATAAAACGTAAACATCTTAAAGTAAAGGTTACTTGTTAAACATACATTAAATGTATTTTGTAATAGATCCTTCATAAATTATTTAATTATAAAGTAGTTCTATCTATCTTTTTGCTATAATCAGAACATTTAAGCATGAATTTTGTTTCCAGGGAACGCTTCGGCTTATACCAAGTGGACTTTGAGAGTCCCGAAAAGACGCGCACGCCAAGGAAAGCGGCGTTTGTCTACAAGGAGATCATAAGAAGCCGAGTTATAGATCCTAACTTCGAACCAGCTACCAGGACCATGTCTATTGACGAAGGAAATTAATTTATTGAGAAAATACAACATATTGTACATAGTATTTAAGCACCAAAATATGTTATAGAATAAAAAGTTATAGCGTTGACTGTGTATATTATTTACTCCCTAATAAATAATTCAACATTTATTTTATTTTAGTTGTGTTACCAACAAAAGTTTACAATCATTGCATCATTTTAGTTAAGTAGGACTTGGTCTAGTAACTGGACGTTAAGTGGTAGAAATATTTAAATTTCGCCCGGGTTACGAACCTCTGAAGTTTGTAATCGCGTTTCGGCTTTAACCTAGAACAGGTCGCAACTTTTTTCGATGTTATTTCATCATAGACAAATTCACTTCGCACATAGTAATACGTACTTTCATTTTATGAAATATTAATAATTTTATCAATACATATTTTAATAAAAGTGTTTAGAAATCGGCTCCAGGTAAATGGTTGGTTTGGCCGTTGGAGATATGTAGAAATAAAACTTGGGACTATCTAAAAATAATCATCAAAATGGATTCATAAAATCGAGACTAATATACAAAAACTGAAGAGTTTGTTTGTTGTGTTTGAACGCAAATTTCAGGAACTACTGGATCGAATTGTAGGATTTGTTTATGAGCATTTATCGAAGAAGACTACTAGACTGTGCGTGGTGTATATGTCTGTTTTTTATGATAAACTTGCAGGAACGACGGGAAGGGACGCGGCCGACGTCGTGGGTAACGGTTTAATTTTAAGATGAAGGGATTTGCAAAAACTAATTGGGGTGCCCAATATGACTATTCTACGCGGACAAAGTCACTGTCACAGCTAGTTAATTATAAAATTGTCTCCGTACTTAAACGGCTTACTGAACGTCCCATACTACAAGATAACTAAAATGAAGTACCAAGTACCTACTTACATTTCGAATTGCGGCAATAATTTTTTTATTAAGTATTTTTCTATAGTAACTTACAACCGTAAGAAATTATCTTTATTTACAACTTGGTACATTATAAATATGTTTTTATTGGTTTAAACGTGAAAGACATTATTTAAGGCGATCAGAGAACTTGCTTCAGAGTGAAAAGCGAACGCCGGCCGTCTTAAACCTTCAAAGGACTGAACTACAGACAATACTTGATTCGTTCTTTTATCTATCCAACTTGACATAATTTATGGAATAGATTATAATTTTAAATTCCCAACTTATCCTACCGCTGATTATAAGAATACTGTCTAAGTAATGTGAAACTTCGTCCTTCGTTAAAACGTGTACGATACTAAACGTGGCTCGGAATATTGTTTAGTAATCGAAAATCTAAAATTTACTTAGATCGAAGAAAGAAATGAATCACATTGCGTGACGTGGATCTTGATTTATGATATATTAATCAAAATAAGTATCCATAAAACTAAATTAGCCACTTTCTAAAAATTTGCCCGATCACCCATTTTCAACGAGGAACTGTGAGGTAAATACTTTTTCGTATGAATTTTACTGAATTGTGTGATAAATATATTACAATTATATAATATTGTAGGGACAGTGTTAGTCACACCTGAACCATATGTGGATGAAGTTGCAGGAGGATAATTAATTCTGAGATTCAAGCCAAAATTCTTTCACAACAGAGTCACGGATGTAGTCTGCAGGGGGATTTGTATAATCTCTTCACGTATTTTGTATTGATAAGGCAAGTGATGGATGCTGTATAAATAAATATCCAATATCTTAAATACTTAATAGATTATCAGAAAATACTTATCTTTACGGAGTGATAGTGATGTTATATAAGTGTTTGCACCTTTCATCTTTACGAAGAATCGAGATGAAGTTCATAATTTTAAGGTAAGTTGGCAAGACGACAAATTTATGTCAGACGACCATGTGGTTCACTGGAAGTTTAAAACCTTCAGCCACATGACTCTAATCTAAACAAGATGGGCTACCGACCTACAGCTACAATAGCTTTGACTTATTTGGAAATCTACAAATTGACATCGAAACGCGGTTAAACTTCACGCATTTTCGATGTGTAAACGCTGGTGTGTCACCCTAATAATTATATGCAGACCCTAATTTAGGTTTCCTGGTAAAATTCAACATATCAGAAAACTTATAAATTATGTTGGACTTCGCGGGGATCGAACTCATACTCCGTTAATAGGTAATTCATGATGTCAATTTCATGATGTATTGAAAAACGACTTTTAAACAATTAATTTTGGAAATTTTTGTTGAATAATTTTAAATGCAAGTGTCCTAAATCGTTATTAATGTATTGACGCAATTAACTATACAGCTTCCTATTTCTGAGCTGCTACGCTCTCCCCAAGCAAGAGAGGAAATTCCCCGATGACTTCCTCTTCGGGACCGCCACAGCATCATATCAGATCGAGGGGGCTTGGGATGCTGATGGTACGTGTTTCTTCATACTACATACTTTGTATAGGCGTCTATATAAGCTCCTATTGTGACGCCAAAATTCCCTTTTTGTGTTTAATTCATGAATGTTACGAATTAATAGGATTATTCTATGATCTGTTTTATATTGTAGGCAAGGGTGAAAACATATGGGATCGCATGACCCACACCAAACCAGATGTGATCAGAGACAAAAGCAACGGCGACGAAGCCGCCGACTCCTACCACAACTACATACGGGATGTCGAAATGATGAGAGAATTGGGCCTGGACGCCTACAGATTTTCGCTCTCATGGTCCAGAATTCTGCCCAACGGTCTCGCTAACCACGTTAACCCGGCAGGAATCGAATACTACAACAATCTGATAAACGAGATGCTCAAATACAACATCAAGCCTTTAGTGACGCTGTACCATTGGGATCTGCCATGACAGCGTCCAAAGCTCCAGGATTTAGGTGGCTTCGTCAGCCCCTTATTCCCGGAATGGTTCGAGGATTACGCTAGAGTTGTGTTCGAGAATTTCGGGGATAGAGTGAAGTATTGGATCACGTTTAACGAGCCGAGGGAGATCTGCTATCAAGGGTACGGCTGGACAACAAAAGCTCCGATGCTTAATATCACGGATGTTGGCACGTACCTTTGTGCGAAGCAGTTGGTTCTGGCGAATGCAAGAGCCTACCATCTGTATGATCACGAGTTCCGAGCGAGTCAAGGGGGAGAGTGCGGTATCACCATCAGTGTCAATTGGTTCGGTGCTTTGACAGACTCCGAGGAAGACTTGTACGCTGCTGAAATACGACGACAGGCTGAGGTATGGAATTGTATCTTTGTTTCTGATTGTGGCTTCACCTGCGAGTAATATACATTATTATAGATCTTACGTAATCTAGAGTAGAAGTTGCTTACGCTTTGTGCACCACTAAACGCAAGAGTTTCTGGTCTCGAACCCCTAATAATAACGATCAATGTAAAGAACAGATATATTATTTTTATACTATTTTAACTATTTTAACTCGAAGTTGTTGACGAATACGTCTACCTGGGTCAGGTAATATAATTAGGTAGATCCAACTTCGAGAAAGAGGTCAATCGTCGAATCCGACTCGGTTGGGCAGCGTTCGGGAAACTAGACAAAATCTTTTCATCCCGTATACCTCAGTGCCTTAAAACTAAAGTGTTCCAGCAGTGTGTGTTACTAGTAATGACGTACGGTACCAAAACATGGTCTCCTACCGCGAGCATGGTGTACAGACTACGCGCCGCTCAGCGTGCGATGGAAAGGGCTATGCTCGGAGTTACCCTGCGCGATCGAATCAGAAATGAGGAGATCCGTAGAAAAACTAAAGTCACTGACATAGCCCATCGAATTGGCAAGCTGAAGTGGCGGTGGGCTGGGTACATCGCTCGTAGAACTGACGGCCGTTGGGGAAAAAAGGTTCTGGAGTGGAGACCACGTACCGGACGTCGAAAACCTGGTCAAGGTAGCAGGGAAACGCTGGATTCAACTGGCGAACGACCGGTCGTACTGGAAGTCTATGGGAGGGGCCTATGTCCAGCAGTGGACACTGAACGGCTGAATCGATTTTAACTGCATGTGCAAACTTTAATAGAGAAGTCCTAATATTATTATTTTTTTAGTGGGGCTTATACGCTGAGCCAATTTTCTCCGAAGATGGAGGTTTCCCTAAGGAGTTTTCTGAAATCGTAGCTAGAAAGAGCAAGGAGCAAGGTTATCCCAGGTCTCGTATGCCAGAATTCACTCAGGATGAGAGGGAACTAGCAAAAGGATCAGCAGATTTCTTCGGTGTCAACCATTATACTGCATTTTTGACATCAGCGAATAAATATAAGCAGAGCTACTCAGGCCCATCTTTATATGCTGATATGGATAGTGGTAGTTACGTTCCACCAGAATGGCCCAAGGCAGCGTCTAGCTGGTTGACGGTGAGTTTACTATTTCAATATGGAAAAATACGTAGTTTAGAAAAAAAAATAGGTATGAATAACTTGTTATGTAACGAAGTGTAACAAGTTATGAAATACCTAAGAAATAAATAAGAAGATGTCACTTAAAAAATGATAATTCTTGAACGATAAAAAACTGATAATTTAAATAAAGTTTACGCCTGATACGACAGTGTTTTAAAATTAGTCAGTTGTATGTAATATCAATTTAAATTAATTTATAGTCTCTAATATTATAATCTTATCATTGCCTTAATATTATATCAGGCGTAAACTTTATTTAAATTATCCGTTTTTTATCGTTTAAGAATTATCATTTTTTAAGTGACATCTTCTTATATATATTTATTTTAATATGTACTACTTGCGTAATCTACTAACATTAACACTGTTCTTTGTCTTCAGCAAGCACCAAACAGTATTTACAACGTCTTGACCCACCTTAATAACAAATACAATAACCCCGCTTTGTACATTACGGAAAATGGCTGGTCCACCACCTTGGAGGCTGGGTTGGAAGATGACGATAGAATCAAGTACTACAGAGCGGCGTTGAACAGTGTTCTTGATGCTTTAGAGGAAGGCGTCAACTTGAAGGGTTACATGGCGTGGAGTTTGATTGACAACTTCGAATGGATGGAGGGATACTTGTAAGTTTACTTAAGATAAATAACTAGTTAAGTTTCTTTTTTAAGTTCGATTTATTTTTTGGGACGAAAAGGCTGGATATTTCACATTACTGTTTTATATAGGTATAACAAGATCGAGTTAATTCTAAATTATATTGAAAAATTCGGTGACACTGGCGGGACGTGAACCGGCGTCCGTGATGGTGGTCTGATGATCTAAACCAATAAGGCACGTTAGGTCATCGATATTTTTCAATGTAATATAGATTTTTTATTTATGTAATGCCATCATTTGCACACTAAAATAATAGACTTTTCAAAATTAAATGAAAGTTGTAATAATTTAAATAAAACATATTTAACGTTTGAATACGTATTTATTCACCAGGAAACACCAATACACACATTACGACAGTCGCTAACTGATATCGCGTATTAAACAGTTAAAAGTGTTTTATTTAAACGTAAAGTACATACGATACTTAATGTAATAATAAACAAGATGACCTTTTACACGTATAAAATTTTAACATCTTGAAGTAAAAGGTTACTTGTAAATATTTTATTTATTTATTATTGCTTTTTTATGTATAAAACACACCCATTAGATATATTTTGTAATAGGTCCTTCATAAATTATTTAATTATAAAGTAGTACTTCTATCTATCTTTTTGCTAGAATCAGACAATTTAAGCATGAATTTTGTTTATAGGGAACGCTTCGGCTTATACCAAGTGGACTTTGAGAGCCCCGAAAAGACGCGCACGCCAAGGAAAGCGGCGTTTGTCTACAAGGAGATCATAAGAAGCCGAGTTATAGATCCTAACTTCGAACCAGCTACCAGGACCATGTCTATTGACGAAGGAAATTAATTTATTCAGAAAATACAACATATTGTATATAGTATTTAAGCACCAAAATATGTTAAAGAATAGAAAGTTATAGCGTTGACTGTGTATATTATTTACTCCCTAATAAATAATTCAACATTTATTTTATTTTAGTTGTGTTACCAACAAAAGTTTACAATCATTGCATCATTTTAGTTAAGTAGGACTTGGTCTAGTAACTGGACGTTAAGTGGTAGAAATATTTAAATTTCGCCCGGGTTACGAACCTCTGAAGTTTGTAATCGCGTTTCGGCTTTAACCTAGAACAGATCGCAACTTTTTTCGATGTTTTTATACGTACTTTCATTTTATGAAATATGTATTAATAATTTTATCAATATTTTAATAAAAGTGTTTAGAAATCGGCTCCAGGTAAATGGTTGGTTTGACCTTTGGAGAAATGTACAAATAAAACTTGGGACTATCTAAATAGATTAATAAAATCGAGACTAATATACAAAAACTGAAGAGATTGTTTGTTGTGTTTGAACGCAAATTTCAGGAACTACTGGATCGAATTGTAGGATTTGTTTATGAGCATTTATCGAAGAAGACTATAGGCATCGCAATTTTTAAATATATATATATATATATATTTAAAAATTGCGATGTGACTAATAGGAGCCCAGAAACAGCAGTAAATGTGTAAAAAAACGGTAGAAACTATTCATCTCTGTGGGTATCCGATGCAAAAACAGTTCAAGACCCCAAAAATATATGTATGAAATAATAATTCCTCTTGAAATGATCTAATAAAATGTGCGTGGTTTATATGTCTGTTTTTTAAGATAAACTTGCAGGGACGACGGGAAGGGACGCGGCCGATGTCGTGGGTAACGGTTTAATTTTAAGATGAAGGGGTTTGCAATGCCGAATTTGGATACTGAGTGAACTAACTATACTGAATGATATGGCCTGGTCGATGGTTTGTATATTAGTCTAAATGACTCTCGAGAACGTATATCCTAATTGCATAGCTAGTGGTGACATTACTCAATTGCTATTATGATTTTTTTTTGTTGGTTTTAAACGTGAAACATATTATTTAAGGCGATCAAATAGTCTGCTTAAAAGTTCAAAGCAAACGTACTTACAACGTCTTGACCCACCTCAATAACAAATATAATAACCCCGCTTTGTACATTACGGAAAATGGCTGGTCTACCACCTCGGAGGCTGGTTTGGAAGATGACGATAGAATCGCGTACTACAGAGCGGCAGAGCACCAGTGTCCTTGATGCTTTAGAGGAAGGCGTCAACTTGAAGGGTTACATAGTGTGTAGTTTGATTGACAACTTTGAATGGATGTCGGGTTATTCGTAAGTTTGTTTTTAAACAAGTGCAAGCATATTATATATTACTGGATGCCTGTGTCTTGATATAATTGACTGATTTGAGTGCTGAACATAAGCTACAATCTAAGAGGAGGGAGGCAATAAAAGTACCTTAATCTTAGATTCATTTTCTCTTGTTTCAACAAAAAAAATATTTTTTTAAATATTTTTTTCAACTGTTTGTTTAGTCAAACATTTTAATTTTCAGGGAATGTTTCGGTCTGTATCAAGTAAACTTTGAAAGCCCCGAAAAGACTCGGACGCCAAAAAAATCTGCGTTTATCTATAAAGAAATCATTAAAAGCAGAATTATCAATCCTAATTACGAACCACCTTCAAGGACAATGTGGATAGACGAAGGACATTAGTGTTTTTTTTGTTAAATTACCCACTGTTAATATAAAGAGATTATGGTAGGGATTAAAGAAATTAATCAAAACTATAATAGTGTTGTTTAATTCCCACTTAAGTTTTTCTCAACTTACTTTGTTCTTTCAAAAGAGCTTATAAAAATACTATTTTCTCATTCTACACTTCGCATTTTTTATGTCTGTGATCACTTGAATTGATGAACATAGAGAACTACTATTGTATTAAGTATCTGCGTTAGTTTAGACGACTACTCTCAAATCTTAATACTTACACTACTTGTATATCAAAGCCATTTAATTATCACAGGTGACTTACCTTAATAATATTGATTAAATTTGTCAGCTTTATACTTCATCTTTTTTTTCTTTTCATTTTGATGATTCAAAATAAAAATGAAAAAGAAGCAGACACGCCTTTATATAAAAAAATGTTATAAAAAATTAAAGTTGTTTTTTTTTGAGAACGACAGCTTAATGACATTCATACTTATTAGTGACAGCTGTCAGATGTCAGCTCAATAGTAAGTTGTAGTGATAGATTTTTATCATTTGTGTATGGGGCGACGAATGATGGCCGACTTCGATTCTAAAATTGTAAATTAAAAGATTTTCTCACTTAAAAAGCGCGTCTAACATAATATCGTGCGCCTTCCATACTTTTATGTGTATTTTTTTGTGAATAGTTAAACGTGTTATTTAACCCAAAATGCACGCTAGGCGGAGAGGTCCAAACTTCACCTACGTCAGTGGATGTGTAAAATACATGATTTTTGTATTAAACTTTATATTCTGGGTGAGTTGTTAGACATATAAAAATAATGCATTCAATAGAAATCGTAATTCCCATGTAAGTTTCTAAAAACATCGCTTAATTATCGTCTGAAATGTCCCCATTGTTCTCAACGGAGATGGATGAATCATTAAGTAATTATTGTACATGCGCTTATGTTTATGTAGTTTAGGATGTGACTAAACACAATCATTTGTGCAGTCCGCGACCATTTCCGTAGTTTTCTAAATTGGCGTGACAACTTTAAAATGATGATAATGACTATACAATATATATATATTGTATCTAACATTTTACGTAAAAATTTAAAATTTGAAATAATTGTTAATCAATAAGTTGAAAGCAAAGTATCAACAAACTGTATAAAAAAATACATAATACATAAGATCTAATTAAAATCTTTGAATCTGTTTGGTATATAAATTTAATGCATTAAAATAAAAGGAATATATTTATTTATATGTTTATAAGCAGCAATTACTACAAGTACTTCAAATTAGTTTCCAAAAAGTACAACTTAACCCGAAAACCAGTGTGTTCTACAAGTAGGTGTAAGATTAAGAAAAAACAAATAATAAAAAATATAGCAAGTTTATGTATACATGCACATATGTGTGTTTAGGTCTAAAAATTATGTAAACCATTGAAGCATCAAAATGAGTAAAGAAAATAAATATGATTGTCCTTTTTGAAATTTTCAGCTGTTTGGTGGGTTGCTTGTTGCAATTGGCCTCTATGCATTTATAGACAAGTGGCAGGCGACGGGACTTATTAAGGTAAGTCCACTCTAATTGTAATTAGCCGTTTCAAAACTCAAAGTCCTCAATAGGGACGATATGGGAAAATGGGCAAAATAGTCGTCAGATAGTGTAGACTCATTACCCAGTCTTCTAACGGTGTCCCCAATAGAAAATAATAATTGCTTCAAAAGCTCAATTCTTAAACACCCTGCCTAATATTGTGATAAGCTCAAGAGGAAAAATAAAGTAATGATATTTGGGTTTGGGCATCATGCAGGATTTTAACTAACTTTTTGCCTGTTATCAAAATCAATAAGTATATTATGTGAGGCTGAATTTCCCTTTATATTTGACACTTTAATAACCAATAAGTAAAAAATTGTGTATAAATGTCCTGAGTCACATAAAATTGGTGTGAATGACATTGATAATATGTAAAAACCCACATATTTGAAGTTTATATTCTAGCCACATTGAGATATCACAATGTCGAAATATTATTCCCAAATACAATTAATTTATGAATTTAAAAGTAATAAAATGAACTATTTCATTTAACTGCCTGTTGTATTTTTGCTTGCAATGTTGTAAATGATTACAAAACTTAAGAAGGTTGTAACGGTAATTGCCTTGACTTTTACTTATAAGAATCGTCTTTACAGTATCGCGGGATTAAGCCAGCTCATTTGTATTTTTAACTCTGTTACTAAGATAAGCGAATTACACTGGTTTTTCCTGCTGTTGTTATCTTAACCACAAAGTTTTTGGGGGATATGAAAATATATTTTTGTTATAAAAAATATGCATATCCATTTGAACAGCATATCTTAGTAACAGTTATTACTTTTATATAAAGGTTTAATTTTTACTGCTAAAAAGATAATGCATGATTTTTTTATCTCTATTATTTATTGATCTGGCCCGTTATGAGGTGTGGACATTCAAGTCTATTTTTAGATCTTATTAGTTTTTTTCTACATAATTACAATCAAATGTTTCAATTATTTGAATACTTAAATAATAAAAAAATCAACATTGCTTTTTGTTTTAAGATTTGGTGTTGCCCATACAGACAAACACTGTTTCAGCAGTACTTAAATTATTAAAATGAAATAATTCATTTTAATTACTTAAAATGAATAATACTTAATAATCTTCTTAAATATCCCTTCCACTATATAAGTTAATATGTAACTGTATCTTTCAGCTTGATACATTGTATGATGTGATCCTCAATATAAGTCTGCTGATAGCATTGCTTGGTGGAGTGGTGTTTATAGTTAGTTTTGCTGGCTGCATCGGAGCCCTACGGGAGAATACCTGTTTATTGAAATTTGTAAGTCATTTATTGTTTAAAAAATAACGAATAATATTATGTACTTTTCATATAAAGAAAAGCATTATGTAAAACTGAGTATATCGTGGAGTCAAACCATAAAGACCCTCATGAGAGTCCTAAATTCCTGTTTTGAAACTGACTAACTGTTGACTGATGATATTAAATATATTTCTGTAGATTTTTATTACAATAAGCATATTTAGAACTCCATGCTACAAAGAAGGTAAAGATGGTACAGGTTATAAGATTTTGTAAAGAACACAGACAGTTTGAAGGGGGTGCAGTGTGAGAGAAAATGGGCAAAATAGTCAACAGACGATGTGGGCTGATCACCCGGCCTTCTCATCATCAGTGTCCCCAAAAGACAATAATAACAATAATAACTGGTTCACTTTGTAGCAGCATTAATTTGTAAAAACCAATTGCAGTACTCGCTATGCCTCCTGATACTATTCCTGGTGGAAATGGGGGGAGCGGTGTGTGGCTTCGTCTTCCCGAGATCGCTGCACGGCTTCCTCGAGTTGAGTTTCACGGAGAGGGTCGTCCACTCGTACAGAGATGACCCGGATCTACAGAACTTCATTGATTTTGCACAGAGCGATGTGAGAACTACCCACTCCTTTAATATTTTCATTTCTGAAATGTGTGGTCATGTAATTAAAAAATCAAGCAATGCTTTATATTTATAAATATATATACATAAATTAACTATTTTGTAAATCCCCTCAGTTCCATTGCTGTGGCCTAACTTCAGACGGTTATATGGACTGGTCCAAGAACGAATACTTCAACTGCACTTCGCCATCTGTAGAGCGGTGTGGGGTTCCGTTCTCATGCTGCATCAACCCGACAGATATCAGTTCGGGGCTTGTCAATATTATGTGTGGATATGGAGTCCAGAACTATCCTGTAAGTTAATTGTGTGCACGAGACGTGCCAGATCTAAGTTCCACTACGTCTTCACAGGAGTCGAACCCTGACCATGCTAACATATCACCATATAATAGTCTAGTCTGAAATACTTCTTTTTTAGACATTAAATCTTAAGTTTCAACGGCGAAAACTTTTTATTTTAATATATAATATGTTTTGGCAAAGTCGATGTAAGAACAATTTTCTGTTGTCAAGTTGAGAACAGCTGGTGTCATCTTTTTTCTATAATACAGAAGGACAGACAAGCACGGGGCTCACATGATGGAAGGATGGATCTTTGTCCTGTTTGGCTTTGGACATTCGGAAATCCACAGAGTGAAGCCGAAACGCAATTCATATTCACGTATTCTTCATCTGTGGACGGAATTTTGATATTCCTACCAACCATTTCATGTCCAGATTTCCAGATGAAGTCTAGCATGTTTCAGGAAAATTTGAAATTGATTAAAATCATCAAACAGGTTCAGTTCAGTTGGGATTGAACACAAGACGATTTGTTTATTTCTGTGTATTTTCGATAATCATCTCTTTTAAGAAATTGTTTTGTAACATTTTCTAATGAAAATCTCTATAACAGGTCGCTGAAGCCAGCAAGCGCGTCTGGACCAGCGGTTGTATAGAAATCGTGCGCTCATGGGCGGAGAGGAACCTCTACACGATAGCGTCTATCGCGCTGGGCGTGGCCCTGTCACAGCTGTTCGTCATTTACCTGGCCAAGACCCTGGAGGGACAGATTGAGCTGCAAAAAGCCAGGTTTCTATTTATTCTTGACACTTAACAGATATACTAATATTATAAAGCTGAAGAGTTTGTTTGTACGCGCTAATCTCAGGAACTACTGGTTCGAATTGAACAATCATTTTTGGTTTTGGCGGTTAGAGAGTTCATCGAGAAAAGCTTTTACGCTATAAAAAACAGCGCTGCGAGTGTTTTTTATATAATTGAGGATTTTCGTTGCGTGCGCTGCGAAAACGGTTTAGAAAGAAAGAATGATTCTTTAAACAAACCCAGCTGTAATTTATAAAACAGAGGTTGTTGCTAAAATAAATAATGTGATGTTTAAATAAAACACTTTAACGGTTTAACTTCGGCCCGACGTCTCGAATGCTTTGCAGCAGCCGTGGAGTCACGGGGGGGACTAAAAATCATGTTCAAATAAGTTTAACTAATATATCGCGTTTTAAACCGTTAAAGTGTTTTATTTAAATGTGTACTACTCACGTAAACTATAGACAGTATTTAAATAATGTGATGTTTAAATATATTCTACGTTATACTATTGTCTATATGGAATATACTTTGATAGCATTTAGTCAGTATCGTAAATATGACATTAAAATTACATGACACAACCGAGAATATATAAAACTGCCTCTGCATTTGGTCTGGAGTTTACGCGTGTAGTACACAATTAAATAAAAATCTTTTAACGGTTTAAAACGTGAAATATATTACTTATTTACAATTTATTTTTATTACTGCCTGATGATGCCTTTTCGACATCAGTGGTAAATATTTCCCGTTTTAAACCGTTAAAACTGACATTTGGTTTTATTTCTAATACAACCTTTTTTTGCAGATGGCAAACATGAAATCGGGGCTCAGCAGGCGCGTACAGGGACGAGTGTAGGCGCGCGCTGCTGTAGCGTCGGGAATCGAACCCGGACTCCGCCGCCATCCACATCTAGTGCCATATGGATCCGGTGTTTTCTGTGAAGTGATATAGTGCAATGACTAACTTATAGCGCCGATATATAGGCACAGTACGCAGTTCTTACCTGTGCTACTAAATAACCTATTGCAAACTATGTTTTTTTATTCTAATAGTTCTATCTGGTGTCAGTAGATGGCGCTTATGTTAATAGTTTTGTCTCCTACTGATATTTCAATGTTTTCTTACTCATACTTTTCAAGATGTATTGCCAAAAGACAAAATTACACCTTTTAAAGTTCTTACTAATGATTCGACATTATCTGCCTAGATAGCGCATATTCTAATAAATGTTAGCTATGTATAGGTAATAATAATCTGGTTGTGGGTGGTCCCCACCAGTTTCCAATTATTCTTGAAAATATTGATTGGTTATCTGGTCCGTTTAACAAACCACCGCCTGAAAAAGCCGTGATGTATAATCGCGTTTCGTTTTATTTCCGAACATCCAAAGCGAAAACACGTAGGCAATGCATCTTTGTTTAGATGTTATACAGGTTATTTACATGCTTGTCTAATCTCTTAAAAACTAAGAAAAATTTTCCTCTGTAGTCGTAAGATGGTACTTAGATTAGTCCCATTTCTCTGAACACAAGTTTGACACAATTACTCTTTGCTTAACTAGATGGCGTTGAAACGAATATTTTTCTCACTTGCGATTGGTAAGCTTTTGTTTGTAAAACTGTTGCGAAGATTCTGTTAGTAGAACACCAAGTGGTAGATAGAGTGGATTCCATCTCCCACTGGGTGGTAGATGGAATACCCCAGCCATATTTCTATTTTGGCTTGAGATATTCAGACTGTAACCGACACGCGAATATACGTTACGGCTTTCTCTGTCGATTATCAAGACATTCCACTAACCTTTTTAATAATAAAGCTTATATTTTAGTGTAATTTTTATTACTAAGAAGCTACAAGTATCGCATTTATAGTTTTAAGTTAGTTGTGTGATATAATTGGCCAGTGAGTGAAACGCGCAAATGGATAGGTGGGCTAAAACCCTTTCGGAAGAGGGTGGGTGGAGAACTTCTATTATTCAAGTATCAACACTGCCGTTGTACATATGTAAATAAATGCATTTTTAAAACCAATGTATCGTTGATAAATGTGCATATTGTTGGTAATGCACCGATAATATAAATTAATATTTCATTACTTTAAGATGTATAAAATAATACAAGAAGTCATATTTTATTCTTGTATTATCATTAAAACAATAAGTTTTTATGTATGGATTAAAACAGCAACTACCGTTTTATAACACACTCCAACGGTTTAAAACGCGATATATTATATTAGTTAAACTTATTTGAAAATTATGTATTAACCACGGTTCTACGTTTCTGATGCTTTGCAGCAGCCGAGGTCACGAGGAGACTAAAGTAAAGTGAAAGCTACTAGCAGTTTTTACTTTACGCTTCGTTTGAAACCTTTGAAGTGTTTTATATAAATCTGTAGTACTCACGTAAACTACAGACACCACAAACTAAATTAATTAATCTGTGTCTATAATCTGTGCACTAACGTATAAAGCAGTTTCCCATCATAATAATGGTAAATATATTTTGAGTTTTGTTAGAGACGTAAAATTTGTCTGTCCTGTTTGTAGAGGAATACTAAGCTGGTTTTCAAACTAGAAATATTAAACTACCTTAGTCTATTGCTCGTAAATGGAGGGTATTCTCGAATAATTTATAAATGTTTAAAGTGACGATAGATGTCTCTTTCTTCATTTCGTATTTGAGGTAGCGAGACAGAATATTGTACTCAGTTGTTTCTCACGTATGTTATGGTCGATTTTGTGTATTTGCTCAATATAAGCGGAAAAAGACCAAAAGTATTATAATATAGATGTGATTTTGTATTAACCAAATGTAGGGTAAGTTCGTGCTTTGTAGGTGCAATATTTTGTATGTGTTTGCCAAATGAAGCGAAATAAACATTTAATATATTATCTTAGTGTTTTCGCATGTACGTTTCTTATCTATGGCGTTTCGATGTATTATTTTCTTCCCGGGCGCGGCGATCGGCGATGCGAACAGCGACGCGAATAACGCAGCGATTATTCGCGCGACTTAGTAGCTCGATTACTTTGCTACAAAGTGTGTGTAAAGTTCTAAGTTCGAAAACAAAATATTTCTTCAATAAGAGAGTGTCATGATGTCTCATCAATAACGTGCATTTAAATAATATGAGAAACGGACACAGGTCTGTGTCTGTCCCATCGGTAACTTGTATGAAAATTCGGTAAATTAAAAATATATTGTGTTTGTCATTAAACGTTACATTGAACGTTAACATTTTTAAATCTTATCGCGTAAATGTGAAGGTTGAAATTACATGTATTGAATGAGGGTTGAAGTAATTCGACGATGACGTATAGGGCACGGTAGCTCAATTGGTTACGGCACTGCATGCTGTGGATGTCGCTTCGAAATCCGCTCGTTTCGTAATTTTTTTCAATCTAAAATTTTAATTTTGATAACCGCAAAATTGTCAAATGGTAAATTCCGATGATTTTTACAATATTCGCTGTAAATCCATAATTAAGATAGATTAGTTTAATTATCGTGTATAAAGTATCAAATTTCCAGACTAAAATTTCGTCACTTAAAAGTGTTCATAATTTCGTAGCGAATGAATTCTACTTTAAATAAACAAAGATAATATTCTTCTACATTGTATATTATGCTGTCTATAGAAATAAAACTTGATTATTCCGTGTTTTGTTTTATTAAATTCTACAAATAAGGGCGTAAAGATGTTTGCAACCCCAAACTACTGGAGCTACAAGTAGTTTCTCCGAATACCAACTACGAGGAAACAGGTGGCGCTAGCGTAGCAGGTTTGCGTTAGGGACACCCTCCATCTTCAGTCCTGTGACCATACCCCTGATGTAAAAGAAACGAAACGTCGGGCCGTAGTTACAAGTTAGTTTACTAATACATATCGCGCTTTAAACCGTTTAGTGTTTGATTTAAACTTTGCCCTTGTTAGTCCTTTTAAACAGGTTCAATTTTCTTTGTATGCTCATTGTCCATGAGAAATCGTCTATAAGTTACATATAACAATTAAATAAAACACAACTGCTGCAAAGTATCCAAAACGCCGGTAGGTTAAAATACTTTGTAAATAAGTTTATCATTTCGCGTTTTAAACCGTTAAGTGTTTTATTTAAATACATATTGCTTCCTATTTCTTCCCCTTCCCCTTCTTTCCCTTGAGCTCGGGTTCGGGTTCTGGTTCCGGTTCAGGAGGTGGTGGGGGCCAGTACTTGTCGAAGAACGCGTCGTCCGCAGCGAATTGTAACGGCAGGATGTGTTGGCGTCGGTGCCAGTCCTCCCTGTCAGCTTCTTCTTGTTCGTCCTGCAGGCGTTCATCTCTCGCGCGAAGCTGGGGAGAAACGTTATAAAAGAAGTTTTGTGAAGATAAGCACGGGGCTCTCTTTATAGAAGTTGAAATACGCAAGACCATAACGTCTATATTTATCTCTAGGGCACACTAGCTCAATTGCTTTGAGCAACAGCACTGAACGCTGGGGATGCGGGTTCGAGTCATGTCCGTGTCGTAAAATTTTTTCAATTTAAAATCGATTTTTTTATTTTAAACATCTAAACAATATGAGCTGTCGGCCTATTTTGGCTTTGTCCAACCACAAGATTTTTCTAATATTAATTTATATTTTTAAATACTGTCTATAGTTTACGCGAGTAGTACACATTTAAATAAAACACTTTAACGGTTTAAAACGCGATATATTAATAAATATTTATAACTAAGTTTAACTAATATATCGCGTTTTAAATGTTTTATTTAAATTTATATTTTTACTAAACATTCACTTTTTCTGGGAATTCTGTATATTAAATGGTAGTCTTTATGTTTCCAATAGAAACATATTAATATTGGTGCCGGACTGGTAGCAATGTACCTATGGCTAATAATCAACGGGACGCAAGTTTGATCCCCACCGGGTCTAACATTAATACATACAACAGCAATATATATTTACAGAACCGTCGTCCTCAAGTGGAAAAGCCAGAAAGTGCAAGCGCCTTTTGGCTCGATCATAAAAGATTTCATAAAATCGGCCGACAGCATATCGTATTTAGATGCTAAACAACTTGCGAATAAGAAATTTATCAGATTTTCTCAATATTCACCTCTAGAAGAGCCAAATATTCCTCCGTATCGACATCCTTCTTCTTTCCCTTCTGCGGTTTCACTTCTTTCTTTGGTTTCTCCTTCTTGGGCTTCAACTTGAGTGGGGCGAACAGTCTCTTGGGGTTCTGAAGCTGATACGGCATGTCTATGTGGTTGTATTCCGGTGTAAATGTGAAGATGGACCTTATTAGATCGTATTGGTAGTCTGTGCTAAATCTACAGAACATATAATCAATGAGTTAACATCTTTAAAATTTTAATAAAACACTAACGGTTCAAAACGCGACATATATTAGTTTAACTTATTTGAAAATTATTGCAACTACGCCCCGATGTTTCGGAGGCTTTGCGCGCTGCTATATCGCATTTTAAACCGTTAAACTGTTTTATTTAAATGTCGTTACAATGTTTCTACTAGCTGTTTTAGTAACTATTAAGTTAAGCTAAGATTTCAATAAAAGCTGATGTAGAATTGGTAAAGACTCGTCAGCTTGTACTTAATTGTTAGGTTTATATTGTACCTACATAAACTTTAAACTTACAGCTCTATAATAAAAAGTGAACAACCCACCACTTCCCAAGGAAAAATATTGTTTTTTCAAGTGCATTTCTTTAATTCAAAACAAGCTTCTACTAACATTGGCTTTTTGAACGTCATGTTATAGGTATATCGATGTAAACCGTTTAAAATTTGTTTATTTTACTGTAGTACCTAAATATCTACTAGAGAAAACTACAAATAAAAAATATTCTTTTTTAATTGACTGCCACTAAAAAAAGTTTCAGACTTCTCTTACTTCGTTTTAATTTCAGTTTTCTTCTACAATTTATGAATCAATTAGGTAAGGATCTTTCAAAAATACTCACAAATCATAAATATAATGCATAATATTTATTAGGTCCCGCAACGAGCATTCATAGGCCGCGTTCTCAAACGTCACTAGATGTCGCGACTGATGGGAGGACCTGGATACGTCCATGGCTACCTCCTCCTGGGCTTTGTAGAAGACACCAGCCTCTATTGGCGTCGGGAGGTGTTCCTCTTCACCAATGAACTTTGCAGCTGATATCATGTTATCCTTAAAGTTATAACAGCGTGTAATTTTATTACTATCTTTATTTTATCTTTTTATGTTTTGTATATGAATTACGTTGTGATAAAAATACATTATCATGACAAAATTCATAGACGTACAAACTAACAAAATTTGAGTCGCCCTATACTCTAAATTGTAATGTTATTCATTCAAATCGAATCAGTAAGTTAAGCTGTAGATTCAAACATACATACAACCATAGGTATATAAAGATACCTCAAACTAATTACTATCTTTCAGCTTTTGAGGTCGTTTAAGACTTATAGAAGCAGTTACTTAAAAAGGCATTATCACTGGGAACGATATTTCGGAAGACTAACCTGAAACCTCTTCAGCATTCTTTGCCGGTCGGCTGCATCGAAGTGCTGCATCTCCTTCATCCACTCGCAGAACCACATGACAAGTATGGCTTGTGCAGCTGTCAGATATTTATGATTTATGAGTTAGAAATCGAACCCAAGAAAACGTGGCTTGCACAATGAAAATAGACAAAAAAAACTACTTATTTAGATACAAATTCTTTGTAAATATAACAATACCAAGCATTTGCAACGAATTCGAAACTTTGAGTCGCATTAAAAAATATATATTTCCCGATTCGAACCGTTGAAAATGTTTTATTAAACAACGTTTTTAACCATCTCATCGTCATATTTTTCTACTATAACCCTATTTTTATTATTAATTATAAATAGAAACAAATAAATGCTTTTATTTCCCTACTACTAAGTACATCTTGTTACTAAGTTTTGAACAAGTCGATATCTATACTGATATATAAAGCTGAAGAGTTTGTTTGTTTGTTTGAACGCGCTAATCTCAGGAACTACGCGTTCGAATTGAAAAAATATTTTTGTGTTAGTTATAGCATTTATCGAGGAAGGTTATTTTGGCTATAAAACATGGAGCTTTGAAGTCGTACAAACACCCTTAAAGCACCGTAGAGGGCTGGTGGTGTGTTTAGTGGTTCTGGTCGGCTATACGATTTACCACACCACGTCACACTTGCCAGACGTGGGTGTGCATTAGGCATTCACACGATCAGTTAAAAAAAGGCTATAAAACATACGATATATATCTATATATACATATAATAGAAGCGAAAATACAGCGGGAAATGTGAACAAAACGGAGTTGATGTGAACAAACAAGGAGTCCACCAGCCGCGGTTTTATTTAATGGATATTATACAACAATAATTTTTGACACGAATGCATCCAGTCAATAATTTCAGCACTTATCAAGTAAAAAAAGGTTCTTTTCAAAACTCTTACGTCTATCCATTTCCTCGTCCTGAGCACGTCTCAACATATTGGCTAGTGTGTCCAAGAACCAGAACTCAGCCAGACTCTTCTTGTATTGAACACAACCGGTTATCTCTGCCAGTATGTCTATATACTTCTGCTGCGGTGTTGATAAGATCTTGGGAATCAGCGTTGGATCTATATCACTTCTAAATTCTTCAGGTAAAACGTGAATGCGGTTTTGCTCTTCGATCTGGTAATTTATGATTTAAATTAAAAATACTGTCTATAGTTTACGCGAGTACTACACATTTAAATAAACACTTTAACGGTTTAAAACGCGATATATTAATTAAATCAGCAGCCGAAACGTCGAGCCGAAGTTAAAAATCATTTTCAGATAAGTTTAACTAATATATCGCGTTTTAAACCGTTAAAGTGTTTTATTTAAATTAAATTATGTGCGAGTTCGGCTCAAGCTTAGTTCGTTTTCGATACCTTTCTCCAACGGTCAGGCAAAAGTCTTCTTAATGACGGCGTAGGGAATATCTCGGGTTCTTCTTCTATTATTTCTTCTTCCACAATGCTCCTCACGTCTACCATCAGGTCTGCTTCTGCGATTTGCTCTTCTTCTTCTTCCACTTTACCTAAATGAAAAACATTTGGTTCAATTTCCGCGAATTTATTTATTTATGAGGCTTAGTAACGAGTTGACTAAAATGTTTTAAATTACTAAGTTTGAAAACTTTAATATTTTTCACATGTACATGAAGGCACGATTTTTAAATTATTACTTAAGTTTAAATTCTTATGTACTTACACGTATGCACAAAGTTGACTATAGACTTACAGTTAAAACAAAATAAACACGTAATCAAAATTATTCTTAATTACTTCTATCATATTAGGTATGTGCCGTCCTGGTATTTAAAAAATATTAATAATTTTACAAAAGACGGTCATACCCAGTTGCTCATCTTCATCAGAAATTGAAGACGACTCTTCAGAGACTATTGCTGATCGAAGACATTCGAGGCCAGAGTCTGAAAAAAGCTGGTTCAACCTCTCTACGTGGGTGACTTCGGTTCTACGTGAAGGCATTTTAATTCCTACTGTTCTCTTATTCCTTTAAAGCCTTAATTAATCTTTAATATTTTGAATATCGACTTTGAAAGGTAATGAGTTTGTCAAGTAACATAGACAATAAAAAATAACTATACTTTAATCTATAGTCCATGATTATTTATTAGACTAAGAACTGCCTTGACCTTTTATCACAAATACTGAGAAATGTAACTGAAACTTTAAACAGGTAGAAAAAAAAACAAAATTGTGTAAAATAGTTAAAGACAACAACATATGATTGTAAAATAAAAGATACTTTATTATCTTTAAAAATTATATAGATTCGTCAAAAATTTTAGTTCATCAGTCTGTTCGTCGTGATTCTACAGAGTGTTCAAAAGAACAACATAACTGAGAAGAACACCCAAGAAACTCGGTCCGGCTTTTTTTAACATGTCTTATAAACAAATACATTGTGAATTTACTAACCTAAGGAGCAATTCATATTACTGCCAGGCGGTCTTGTCATTAAAGAAATCGTTCAGACGATAATACGCCTTTTGAGACAATCTAAGTTTTATAACTTTCTTAAATTTATTTATCGATAAATTTGAAACCTCAACTGGCAATGTATTATACATACGAATACAATTCCCCGCAAATGATCTAGATATTTTATAGAGCCTATATTTGGGGATAGCTTATATAGATAGATAGTTTATCCTTATTGTTGATGTGTTTCACTGATCGATTCCTTTACAAGCAGAAGAAGTTGAACACAAAACAATCTTTCGTTTCCCTAAGATTCGAACCCTGGACCTCTCGCGCTAAACCATTTGGCTAGAAAGAATGATAAAAATAATTTATTTAGTAGTTTTATTTATTTCTTAACGAAACTTTAAAACACCACATCTGCTTGATGCAGAGGGTGTGCTTCGACGGTTTTAAAACACCCAAAAATCTCAGACAAAAGTCAAGTACCATTCAATTACACCCCACCGTTAACTGGGGATGGGGCATAGCGCTTACATAGGCGAAGCTAGTTCCTTTGATCGCTTACTACGCGAGAACTGATAAATTTATTTAAGCTTAATTATTAATAATCATTACTTCTGGTAACGCCCTAGTGATACGTAACATTAAGTAGTATATACACGATTAGAACAAATTTAAATAAAACACTTTCAACGGTTAAATTTGCGAAATATAATAGTTAACTAAAATACTATCCGTAGTTCACTTGAGTAGTGCAGATTTAAAAACACTTTAAAGGTTTATAAACGCGAAATATGTTAGTTAAACTTATTTGAAAATTATTTTAACTACGGCCCGACGTTTCGGATGCTTTGTAGAAGCCGTAGTCGCGGGGAGAAGTAGTGTTTTGTTTAGCATTCAAAACGTCGGGTAGTAAGAATATAAAATCTAATCTAATACATTTCTCGTTTTAAACCGTTAAAAGTGTTTTATTGAAAAATGCGTAATATAACAGAAAATACACACACTTCGCTGTTTAAAATTAATATCTCATTGCCCGTTCCTACCTTCGAATCCCGGTGAAATCAAATATCATTTTTGTTCTAGTAATGCATAGACGGGACATTTCTACCTCCGTTTCACCGGCCGAGCCTCTTACGGCCAAATGACATTATTATGCTGTGATTCGAACCTAAGACATCTTTATTCATATTATGGTTTTCCCTTATTCATAAATGTTTTGTTAATGTAATGTGTGCCATCAATAATAATCTTAGTCGAATTCGAATTGTATGTCTTATTTATAAGAAACTCAAATAATTGTCAGTTCTACCAACATCCGCCTCCGTGTGAAGTCTGGTAATATTTAGCATAGACTAAAGAGTACAATGCCAAGTTCGTGATTTATATTCCACGTATGTTTTCATTCGGATGTCGCTATCCTGTACAATTTCCTGGCTTAAGGAAATCCACGATATTAGAATAGTCAAAATTCATTGTCCTTATAAGGTAATTTAAGTTATTATTATTAAGTAAACAAAAAATGCAACTACCTCCCAAAGTTTACTAAAAATAGGTTTCATATTTTGTTGTTGACGGAACAGATGGCGCTAGCGTAGCCGTTTTTATTTTGTGACTACAGTTGCAAAGCTTTCAAAATTTCGGGCCGTAGTTACAATAGTTCGTAATAAATATGTGTATTAGTTATACATTGCGAGTCTTAAACCGTTAATTTTTTTCTTCTTATTCATATTATTCATCCATTAACATCCAATTAAAAAAAACATATAATAAAAGAACGTTTATGGCAGACTTTATCGTTATAATTGGTTCCTAGTAAATAATTCAATGAATCTAACCAATCAGATTACGTTAGAAGTTGAAAAATTAAGCCCCAAGATTTCTAACACATATTAGGCGTTTGAATTACGTTAGTTTCAATGCGCAAGTGAGAAACGACTCTATTCTGTAATCAGTAGAGTCGAGATTATAAAAAAATAATTATAATAGTTTGCAGCCGTGTTTGGGAATTCATTAAAAAATCACAATTAGCGTTCACTAATTGGAGAACCGAAATATGATGGGGCCAAAATAGAGGGGTCTGTTTTAATTCGCTCTAAGTTATAGGCGGTAGCGTATCAGACGGGCTCGGTAGTGTAACACATCTTCGGTTCGACTCTCAACTGATCCTAAATTCTAAAAGCAATTTCTAATACTTCTGAACATGTTGGATTTCGTATGGATATTAAAGGCCTAAATAAACAATAAACAATAAACAACAAACAATTGAACAAACCGTGAAATTCAATCTGAGGATTTCCGAATGAGCAGTGCCATAATAGGTTTACTGAAGAATTTCTCATATCATCAAGTCACACTTTACGAAGACCACGAAAAAAAGACACGAAAATACAAGAACAGGTTTTTATTTAACTAAATGTTTATTGTACTTTCTCCTTAGCTATTGTTATTTGCAATTAAGCCGCAACTCTGATAAAAATAAAAGTCTGTAAATAAAAAACATTCAGAGAAACAGACACGTGTAAGTATTGTTTCTTTGTCTATAAAGCGAATTATATGAGCCGTGATCCCGACCGGATAGATTTGAATCATTGAATACGTAACTTCGTAATTAAAAATAGATTTAATAATATATTCAGAGTTTTAAACCGTCAATAGTTGCATTTAATATGTATAACATTGCTTATTTATTTGTTCATAAGCTCTTATCGAAATCAAATCATACATATTTGAAATGAATGAAATGTAACTTTGCTAAAATCAGAGCAAAACATATACTATTTTATGACAGAAAAAGGCACAAACCTAATTTAAAAATCGAAAATAAATTGAAAAAAATTTCGACTCGGGCAGGACTTGAACCGGCATCGTCAGCGTTCCGTGCTGTTGCTCTCAGAGCAGAAGATTTTTTCAATTTATTTTCGATTTTTAAATTATATAGTGCCTTCATGTGCAATAACATGTAAAAAATATTAATGTTTTCAAAGACCCAAACCTCACTCGATAGGAAGGAGAAATACCATCCATATAACATCTAAGATATATTGCGCCTATATTAAAATCCACAGACTGATTAAACACAGGTTTATGATTTGATTCATTGACGAAAGTTTGTGACCCGCACAGAATGTTATTGTTGCTACCACCCATCAGATTTTCCGATTAAAATGATCGATTTTTTAAATTTGTACCCAGTAATCGAACCTATCTGTTGATTACTAGCCGCCTGTACCAATGGACCTGCGAGCTCGACCAACTTAGGTACGTTATATGGAAATGTTTCATTTGAAAACGCAAAACAGCGATATTTGTCGAAATGCGTATTGTAACAATGGCTGGAGACGAAACTACTTTCGATTTGGGGCATATTGTGCACGTCATATTTTAGGCGGGGACATTTTGAATGAGGTGTTTGAAGCAGACCAATAGTACAAAAACTGAAATATTTCGTGCTTATTTTCTGAACAATATCGCTTCTCTGTGCTGTCTCCCCTTGTTACAGTTCAGTGGTTAAAAAGGAATAATCGTTAAGAGATTTTGTTTCTATTTAAACACTTTTAACGGTTTAAAACGGGAAAGATTATAAATTTAACTACGGCCCGATGTTATATAATCCGTCTCCACGGCAATGAATCAGTTCTAACTAATAAATAATAGATTTCGCGTATTAAACCGTCAAAAGCGTTTTATTGTATATACTACTCGCAACACTACAATACTAGAGTTTGTTTTAATTATATCTATCAAATAAGTTTAATAAATAAAATAACAACAATAATTTATAGACATTGGCAGAATCCAATAAGAAAAGGAAAGCCATCAAACTATGTTGTATTATGTCTTTTGACACTTATTAGAACGAAACACTCTAGAAGTCTCTAACTAAAGAAGTTCTCGGCTTGGCAAACAATGATGGTTTGACAAAAGTGGCGTTATCTTAGAGGTAAACCAAATTTGAGTTAAGCCAGAAAATTCATTAATTTAAATTTCTAAAACACTTAAACGGTTTAAAACGCGAAAGTTATTAGTTTAAATTATTCTTAACTATGGCTCGACGTTTCGGATGCTTTGCAGCAGCCGCGGTCGCGGGGAGACTCTATATTACGTTACGCTTGAATAAACCCGCTACCAGCTTATATCTTGCCCCTCCGTCTGGCTCATAATTACAAGATATATTGCGTCACCCGTGTTTATACGTCACCATAATGCACCAACACTCATCACAAAAACAAGATTTGTATGAAAACTCCGCTATTTAAACGACATCTTTTTTGAAATTCTGTACGTGGCGCTTTGTCAAACTTTGGGGTGATTTTAAAGGTATTAAAAATGTTACGCACTTGTTTCTAGCCGGTGATATACTTGTATTATAACGGGCATAATAAGTACTTAAAGCACTGAGGGTAGGCAGAAATTCTAAAGGCTTTCGGCAGTTCCACTTTTTCTGTAGGTACTGAGACGAATTTATTACGGTGGCTCAATTTTAAAAGGATTTTTTTAGTTGCTAGACTAGTTGGTCTAACTATATAAACATTGCAATG